AGCCCTGAGCTTGGTAGCAGGTTTAATGGTATGATGGTGTTAAATGCTGAGCTAAACCCAATTAACAGCATTCTTGTATATGTGTTCCTTTTATCCAGGTGGGTTAGTGTGGTGTGTAGAGCTATAGAGATTGCATCCTCTTTGGAGCAGTTTGTGCAAAGAGTGTTTTTGGAATGCTGGCTTTAATGTGTGGTATTAGTAGTTTTTCAAAGTACTTCATTATGATGGGGGTGAGTGCAATAGGGCGGTAGTCGTTCATTCATGTGGGTGCTGATTATTTTGGTACTGGCACAATGGTGGTGGTCATGAAGCAGTTAGGTACAGTAGCCTGGGCCAAGGACAGGTTGAAGATGCCAGAACGGACATCAGCTATCAGCCAGGCACATGCTCTGAGTACCAGGCCAGGGATACCAGCGGCTTTTTGTGTGTTCACTCTTGACTTAAATGAATCACTGTGATCTGCATATTGGCTTAATTGGCCAAATTATTTTCAGGAATCTCATTTATTCCATGTCGATCCTTTGTCTTATTTTAGTGTACCATTGTGTGGCAAAGGGCAAGTCCTGCTCCTTACAGCTGCAAGGTTCCATGTTTCATTCTGGCCATGAGCATCTGTCTGTACGGAGTTTGCATGACTTTACATCACCTGCACCACTTCCCCCCGCCAAAAAAAGAATTTTTTACTGCTTATTTAAATTTTTCTTTTTCTTCTTGGTTCTGCTATGGAGGGGTGTCCATTCCAGAGAAAGACAGGTCATGTGTTCTCACTTCTGCTTGGGCCATAAGCTTTCAGGACAAACTCTGCATTGCCGTAACCCTTACCAGTGTAGATGGATTTTAGATAATGGAAGGATGAGCATAATTTATAGCTAAAGTTTCAACACTACACTGATTCACTGCCTTTCACTTGAACAGAGCATCCAGAGTTGTAACAGGCATCAAAAAGTATGAACATACAGCTCTTCAATGAAATATCTGTACTATTTCAAAATGCATTGAATTCTCTGCTCCAGACCCTTGAACAGTCCAGCCTTGGCACCAATTAGAAATGTGCCATGTTAAGTATTTCATAAACTATAAGGAGGATTTGTTATTGGCATAAATTTTATTGGATAACATGCAAATATTCCATTTAAATATTTAGGATGGTTCCTTATTTTTCCTGTCAGCAGATGCAAGTATTACAATTACAAGTAATGGTTTCTTTCACTTGAAAGCGATTCACTTCTTCATGTAGTTGAATAAAGACAGTGTGAAGTTATATTTACAGATGAAGTTATATTTTCTTACATCATCTTTGTCATGAAGGACTGAGGGTATGCCACTCCTTTCTCCTCGCCCTCTCATATGGCAAGGATGTAAGTCCGTTGTAGGGCACAAGAGAAAGGCACCAGTTCCAGGGATCTGGAAACAGATTTTAAGAACTGACACTTTACTGGCCTCTGCTGGACATTTTAACAAGTCAAAGTGAACAGTTCAGGTTAAAGGGTAATGAAAATCATGAATCACAGTAAAGGAACAAGTAATAGGTTTATTCCATGCTGAAAAAAAGGAGAAAGAGAACACAACTTTTCGGCCGTGGAACCTTCTTCAGGTGTGAGAGAGACTGGGCAGTAGGCAAAGGTGAAGTAGCGGGAGAACAAAGGTTGAGAGGGAGGAGGAGTGAGAGGCGGGAGCAGGGGACAGAAAGAGAGGCCAATCAAGAGGTATGAAGTCAGAATAGGTGCAGAGAGGTGTGAAATGAAACTTCCAATGAATGGAGAAAATTTAAAAGAACAGTAGTCTGTTGTTAAGGGAAGGGAGAATGTGTGATCCTAACTGCAGAATAATTTTAGTTTCGGTGGTCTTTCTGATGTATGAGTTCGGAAAACCGTCTTTGAGAACACAGACGGAGAGATTAGAGTGGTCGTGGCCGTCAGAGGTGAAATGAGAAACAATGGGCTTGGAGAGATCTTTAATCTTCACAGCCCTGATGTGTTCTCTGAAGCGGTCTCCGAGTCTCCTTCCTGTTTCTCCAATGTAGATGGCTGGGCATTTACTGCAAGAGATACAGTAAATAAGGTTGCTGGAAGTACAAGATGCTGTCTGGGTGATCCGGAATGGTCCTGAGGGGCCTTGAATGAGTGTGGTGGTGGCTGTGTACTTGCAGGTGATACAACGAGCTCTGTTGCAAGGGAAAGTGCCTGGTGTGGATGGTTGTTGAGGGCGGTCAACGGAAACTGTGAACAAGGAGGTTACGCAGATTAGGTGGTCGGCGATATGAGATGAGTGAATCACAGTATCTGGGTTCCAAATATTTTTGGGGCCAAAACTGTTCCACCTTTGCCATGACTTTGCTATCCAGATGATCTGTTGACACCAAGCACAGAAATAATTATTCTGAAAGGAGAATCCATTCTGTGAGCATACTGTATGAGCATGCTGTGCGTTGAGTAACTTAAAAAACCTGAAAAGCATTGATTAGTGCAGAATTTATTCTAAAAACATTAATTTAAAGTGTTTTTGGTAAAACTTTTAGAAGACAGACTCATCTTAATGAACCTTGTTGGCTAGATTTATTATGCTTTTGAGGACAATTACAAACTGAATTAATTAGTTCTTATTAGGGTATACTTAATTATTGAATCAGCATTCCTCACTTGTTAATCAGATCTTTGTGCTTTCACAAACTTTGCACTTGAAGCTAATTATGAATATTCAATTATAGGATCATTTTCAAGTGAATTTACATACATCTTGCATAAAAATATAGGACAAGAAACAACAGTCTGCCTATCAAGGCAAGTACTGTATTACAGTGCATGTGCAAATTTACTGGGCACTCTAGAGCAGGGGTCTAGAGTTCCTGTGTGGCTTACTGCTCTTAGTTATGCAGTTGGTCTAATTATTTAATTAGCTGTATTATATCTACTTTATAGTAGTAGTATAACCTTAACTTTATATAACCTTAAGAAAAATTATGGAATTTTTCTTAAGGTTTTATACAGTTGTGAAAGTTTTGTCTAATTAACTGTATAAAACCTTAAGAACAATTCCATAATTAATTGGGTTAATTTATTAACTAGTCAGGTTGGAACAAAAACAGAAGACATTGTTCTCCTGGATTTTTTTTTTATTCTCCAACCTTTTTAACCTCAACTTCAGTCATAAAGCAAGAGGTGATTTAAAATAAAATCAGGCTGAAGGTTAAGAGACCGCACTGCGTGCAATGAAAGATCTCAATTTTTATGTCAAATTCCCCAATTCAAACATATACTACACTCCACTATTTAATGAATCCTCCATCATGGAACACCTTTCTTGAACGTCTCTAATCTCTATTATAATCTGGAAAGACTAAAGCCTTATGAATCTGTTTAGTAATTCTACACCAAATCAAGGTTTTTACAGGTGTTTAAGTCTACTGCATTAAAAAGATTTGACTACCCTGTCTGTTTTTGTACTGCATGAAAATACAATTTTGGAATTCTTCAAAGACCTTTGTACGTACTGTAGTACTTCTTAAGGTACTTGGACTTGACCCTGATCACCAGCAAATATCCTCATAAACTTATTTTGTGTAGAAATGTATTCATTTATTTTCACATTATTGAAATTTAAAAACACTGCTTGTATGTTTATACACAAGGAACAAATCTCTTTTTATACAGTAAATACCTTATAAGGGCTCTCAGTGGAAAGTTGAAAACAGCATCAAAGATAACATCAGTTTGCACACGGATTTACTTAGGAGCTGTGCTATACATTTTGTCAAACCATAAAATGTACACGTGTATCGTACCCTTTCAACTTAAAATCCATTTTTCATGTATATGACGTAATCCAAGCAAAATACGAAAACAGAAATCCAAATAAAAATAGTTTGTCAAGCAATATTTCCACAGCACAAAGAAAGGAACACAATTGACTTCTGGCTTCATAGACAGATCTAACCACAATGACACCGAATGCCACTTATTCAGTGTTTGCACCTTGATTTTTATCAATTGCAAAAAAAAAAGAATTTCACATCTAAAAAGCATCAAAACCCTGAAAAATTAACAAATGTATAGTCTATTAGATGCAGCATGGAGAAAAGGGCACTGTATTTACATTATCAGTACACAGCTCCACGTTTGTCAGCAAACCAAATTTTTAAAAATGATGTATGAAAAAATCTGTTTGCATATATACAGATCGTGAATCACCAACCGAGGTTTCTTATTTCTAAAGATACTGTATAGAACAATTCCATTGTGATCAGTTGAACAAGTGATGTTAAATTAAGAAATTTTGAGAATATTTAGGACTAAACTCCAAGTGCTCTTCAGCACTCAAGAACAAGAATCCTCTTAACCAAACAGTTTATTTGCTTCTCTCATCAGTACCTTACAGGAGTTGCCTTTCTTTATAAACAGGTGACCTACTGTATTGGACTAGGGTCAGGGATCCCTGCTATAGATCATCCTTTAAGGAACATGGGTGTCTTGTAAAACCAACAAAAAATATTAAGGGTTTCAATAGAATAACTCTTACAGTTTTATTTTACATTAAGGAGGTGCATCCATGATGCATCCTTCCAAATATTTCTGAGCCTGGTCTGTGGGCTTGCCTGGATTGTTCACGCATTTGTGGACAGTATGATCCTGCAGGCTCCTTATCCAGGAATGCCGCTGTGTTGCAGACATATACACAACAATAAAATTTTTAAATTGTCCCATCAATTAATTATTCTGACAGCTGAAGTAGGTAACTGCTTCAGCATGTATAGGCTGCAAAGGAACAGGTAAAGGTTTTTTCCATTCAGTTTATATTCAGGTGTGTGAAGGCTCCACAGTTGAAATGTTGTCTCATTCCGTGTCCTTTCAGCATGGAATGAACCTTTACCTGTTCCTTTGCATTCTGACAGCTCTACTTTCTCAAACAAGTATCTAGTCCAGAACATGAACCACTGTCCAGATAATCAATGTGCAAAATGTAGTGGAAACTACACAGAAAGTGAGCATTTTAAACACAGGATATGAGGCTACAAACGGGTAATTTATTATGAAAGAGAAGTATTTTGGTATTACTGTAGGTGCAGGAAGCCCAATTGTGAACGTGTTTTAAACAAAAACCCTCTTTACAGTAAAGCTTTTCTTTAGAGCATCAAGAAAACTTTGAAACCATACTGTTATGATAAGCCAGGATTTATATCTGGTTAAAGTTAGTTTTCAAACCTGAGCATTTGTTTCATTTAGAAACTCAATTCTTTGTGTGACTTTTTGTGACTAGATGGCTAAAGTGAGTTTACAGAAAAAATTATACAGGTTAATAATCAGAAGGGAGTGGATAAATCACAGCATAATAAAACAAATCAATTTGACAGAGAGGTTATAATGTCTAAAAGTTAATTACCTTTAAAAAGTGCCAGATAAAGAAAAAGTGTTACAGCTTCTTTTGAATTATTCTTCTGGCTCCTCAATTTCCAATTTTTTTTACAATTAGCTCTTAGTCAAGTCCTGTTATTTATTACCATTTCAAAATGAGCTATCAGCTAGCACAGCAGCATGTGAAATTCCATCTACATTCCACTGCGCAATGCAAGCAGCATACCACTGTCATCATCTCAGTATAATTTAAGCAACGTAAGGATGTTTTTACCAAAAAGGTGCGGCTTGGATTTTAGACTGATGGGGAGCTGATAGGGTTCCAGGACTAATCTGGGTTTTGTCAGCATGTTTCTAGTGTTCCTACTGTATAGAACACAGGGTCATCAGGTACAGTACAAGGGAGCACAGTACTCCAATCTGATTCTCTTTATTAGTCATATGAAAAGTTGTCCAGATTCAGGAATTTTAAAAGTGTTCCTAGCTTCAGTTTTAAAATAGTTCCTATCTGTGCTCTGGACAGAAAAGGGGGGTGTTAATAACAATGCTTTTACTATTGCTGCTCACTTTGTGTTGGGCTTGCAGTGCATCTCAGGGCTAAGGACTTTTTCAGATGTGAAACCAGTTTCAAAGAGCCTTCAGTCTAGCTCAAGACACTGCATATTAGCCATGGGGCATCTCTTCTGTGCACCGTCAAAGTCATTATTACAGCCTTCACCAGAAGACATACTACAATCATGTCCTTGCATATCAGCCAACATATTACTAGATAAGGGACAGCATGTTTAACAAGCTGCCAATGCTAACAGCATCAGGGCTTGAAAGGTGTATATCTGGAATCCTCACTCTGCCTTTCAGATGTCTCTGTGAAGTCCAGGAATATTTCAAACTCTTTACACACAATAGGCCCGTGCTATAGGACGCATCACAGCTCACTCTTCTCTCTGGGCAGTGGGCTTTTCTTCTGGATATCTTCATCAGATGTGAACTCGTCCCTGTCCCTTCCCTGTTCATGCTCATCCGGCAGCTTGCTCTTCTTCTTTTTCGTCTTCTTCTTCTGCTTTCCTGCCTCTCCCTCACCCTTTTTCTTCTTCTTCTTCTTTTTCTCATCAATGGCGGCAGTTTCGCCCCTTTTCCCAATCCAGACTTCTTTCAGGCAGCCTGAAACAAACATACCAAAATTGTTTTATTCAGTGCAACTAATGAAGGTGTATTTACATGGGTCATCACAGAACCTTCAAGGGGCCAAAAAAAAGGCAAATTGTATTCATGTTCACCTTCGTGTTGTAATGATACATATTTAATATGCACAAAGAAAACGTCTTGCCAGTTTGTATCGTGAGACTGTGGCACGAAACTGATTAAGAGATCAATTATTATGTTATGCTTTTTAGTTAGCATAGCTTTTTAGACTATGAAAGCACACATCTAACTGGCTGTACATAACATCTTGTATTAATATGGAAATTTGTAACATTCTCGATATGTGTGCGTAATATTAGAGCTTCTTTAGTGTTATTTAACAAATAGGTAAAGTTCAATAGGCTGCCTTTCTGTTATGCTGTACAGTAGCTGGCCACTGGTAATTGTGTAATGTTTGTGGATATTTCAGTTTTAAACAAAGAGGGCCAATTAAAACACTCAATTAAAACAAAACAATAGGAAAGACATTGAAGGGTCTCCTTGTCCCTGGGTTTTAGCAGCACTAAGTGCTGTTTTTGGTAAATTGATTTAGAAAAGGAAGGTCTTGTTTAACTAACTTGTAGTCTTCAAGAAGTGTTCAAACAAGTAACAGGGTCAGAACACTAAAGTACACAGCATGGTATATTTAGAATTACACTCAGCTATTAATGATAATTCTTATGTAGCGTATTTCATCATTAAATATTCCAAACTACTCCACATGTAGGAGGACACCCACTTGATTCTCCATTTGCCTGGATGACACGAGGCAAACTTGACGTACCATCTGCCTCTCTACACAACAGATTTGGTGGGAAGTGAGAAATCACTTCACAAGCTCAATAAAGAGGAAAACTTGGACGAGACTTTTTACCCGCCCAGGGTAGAATGTCGCAAGGACATTGTGGAGAAGTTTAATGATTAAGTAGTTAAACAGAGTTCCTAACTTGATCCAAGGGAAGAACAATGTCCCGTCACCACATTGTGGCTCTGGTTAGGAAAACTAGACCAGAGGGAAAGTGCTACCACTGTTACTTATTTTTTGTAATAGTATAATGTGCAATGTTTTTCTTCTCTTTTTTTTGCATTCTATTTAAATGTACAGGAGTGCTGAGTGTCCATAAAAAATTTCCCTCGGGTGTCAATAAATTCTTATCTTATATCTTACAGACTGGTTTTCTCCGATTGACTCAATAGAGGAAGAAAGTTCTATATTAAATAGTATTAGAAGGGAGAGTCAAGAGTGTTACTCAATAAGATAAATCTCCAGGGCCTGATTGATTTCTACCTACTTTGTTCTTTAGAAAACGAGATGTTACTCATAGGCCATTAACAAACTTCTTCCAGCATTTGTCTCAAGACAAATGTAACTCCCATTGACTGGAAAATTCCCCTTATATAAAAAGGTCAATAAGTTAACTTACATGTATGATTATAGAAACAATAATCCAAACTAGAAGATCATCGTTATAGCAGTAGGATTCAAGGAGATAATCAGCCTGGCTTTAGAAAAGGTACGACTTGTGTAACTAACTTGCTAGAGGTTTTTGAAGAGAGGTACTTTTCAAGAAACTCAAAGCTCTGCACAACACTACACATGACACGCAACAGAAGCAACAAAGAAAATGGGGGAAAAAGTTTCAGACTCTGCTGCAAATGAGAAGACTAGCGCCCATTGTGTGAAGCCTGGTCTACAGCAGAGTAAGTCTGATTCAGCAGGCATCCGATTATAGATCTGGACTATACTCAGAAAATAACTGCTTATAATAATCTGGATTCCAACCATTCTGTGCCTTAGGAACAAGTTAAAGGTTTATTCCACGTTGCAAAGAGAAGAAAGGAAACACAATGTTTTGCCTGAGTAGACTTCTTTGGGTGCAAGCCGAAATGTTGTGTTTCCTTTCTTCTCTTTTCAGCATGGAATAAACCTTTAACTTGTTCCTTTGCAGCCTACCCATGCTGATGCAGCTACCTACAGTACGTGAACTATTCCACACCTTATGTGTGAGCAGGAGAACCTTTTGGGACAGGGCAATGAATGTTCCTGCAGATGTGATATAGTACCTGTGTCCTGGCCTTTTAGCACGTGTTTCTCACACAGGTAGGTAGTGAGGTCTTCATCCTGATGGTGTCGGTACCACTCCTCAATGACATCCTCGTACTGCTCCACCATCACATCGCACTAGAATGCACAGATAAGTAAACAGTTGCTATCTGTTGTTATACTAAAACGGTTTTCAGACCCAGACGTGATCAGGCCTACAGATTCTGTACAACTGTGAGTGTAGCCACACAGTCAGCCAGCCTCAGGTTACATTTAAAATCAAATCTATAAAGACATCCATGAAATATGCTTGAATGCAATTTTATCCCATGAACTCCTGCAGCTGTGATGTGCTCAAATGTGTATATAAAAAACTAAATTCTGGTCTTATAACAAACTTCCAACCCTATTGTTTTACAAGCACAATCTTAATCTTTTAGAGGGTAGGTTTGCCAAACAGCAGGACTGTCAGATGTACGATGTGTATATTCTGTGCAAGGTGGAAAACAATGTCTCTGTTTTGGTTCTTATTAAAAGGTTAATATTACATGCTTTTTCAATAACTTTTTTCAGACAAAGCACGTGCAGTATATTGACATGAAAGACAAATTCATCCGAAAAACAAAACAATCAGCCCGATATCAGAACTGTTTATTTCTTCAGCCTCAGCAAGAACAGGCATTTGTATTAACTGCTTAGTAGGATGCAATTTATTGGTAGGGTCAGGACTGTTGGCTTTTAGACACTCATGCAGCTAACTGAACTTCAGCTCCTGAAAACCTCAAGGTTACATTCACAGTTTCCTGCAGCCCTTGGTGTAGCTGACCTGTTTTTTAAGGTCTGCCACTTCTGCAGAGGTCTCATTCCACAGCTCGTACGGGATATCCATCACCACCTTCACCCCTTTGTGGACCAGGTTGTGCAGCGTTGTGAAAGTCTCTGACATTCCCTGTGAATGATCAGCACACAGATATGCATTCCAGCAGAAAATTCTTACGCATGGTTACTTGACAGGGCTATAAAATGTCTTTTCCAAAATAAAACTTGGAATGTTCACTGTAGGAATCTGCTTCATGCCCACACTGACATGTTCCTCCTACACAGAAATTAGTGACTGGGTTTAGCAGGCTGAGTGAAGTGATGTATTTCTGACACTTTTGACATTTTCCTGTGCTTCAGAGCTTCTTTACAAAAAAAATTAATCACACTTTAAGTGCTAGGTTGTGTTCCTTCTTAACAGAATGACCTATTTTTGTATTTATTCCTTGCTTTATCTAGGCTTTAGGAATTGTTCTTTTGTTATTTTAACCTTGGTGTTTTTTTTCCCATTTCACTACACATCATAGCAGTTACTTTACTCACTAAGCAATTATAAACTAAACAGTTTTTGTTTAGTTTATAATTGTTATAAAACAAAAAGTAAATTATGTAATTAAAGCCCTGCCAAAGGAATTGTTATTCATGGTCACAAGAAGCAAATAAATTGGAGCAACACAATTTAGGACTTGATCTAATAAGGGGAAGATGAAAATTACAGTGGGATGCATTTTAACATCCTAACAAACATCACTGATTCCTTCCTTTTTAGTCTTCAGATGTAGTCATGGTGACAGGATGTTTAATTAGCACCATTCATGCTACATGTCATGATACTTTATAACACTGTAAACAATCACCAGAAACTAGTATGCACAAATGAAGGTACTATATTTTAAGACGATTTAAAGGTTAGACTAGAAAAGCGGTGAAAAACCATTGCTTTTGGTTTCAGTGTACATTTAATTACTCTAAGTGACTACTTGGGGGTGGTGGAAGAGGAGGGGAGTCCCCATTACCTGTAAAGGGCTTTGAGTGGAGTGTCCAGAAAAGCGCTATATAAGTGTAAGCAATTATTATAATTATTATTATTATTACTTATCCATTGGTCACATACCTCTCTCAATATCCTGTTACATACCTTAGCAAAACGGTTGCTTCCTTGCCTTTCCTTGTGCAAATTATACTCCATCAGCCTCTGGCAAATGGACTCTATGACTTCGATGAATCGGATGTCACTGAAGAACAGTACAGAAAACAGCAGACAATCCTAAGCCCAGGTGAGATAACTCCAGTATTGAGTGTGAACCAAGGATACTAAATATAAACACTGTTAGGGTTTATAACAAGACATGCAGCTATGCCAGTGACAGTGTGAACACTACTAGAGAGAAAACGAGCTCTGCAAAACTAACATCGTCAACAGTGTAGGATTTGATACAACCTCCAAATAAAATGCAAAGTTCCCCCCAAAAAAGTTCTAAGGTTCCAGAAAAAAATAAAATATGAAATGCTGTTTCTTTTTCTCTCCTATTACATATCATCACTTGGCGGATATTTGCACATTTAAAAATGTGCAGCTATTTTCAGAAAATCAGACAATTGATTCTCATGACGGTGAGAATCCACATTACAGCTGGATGGGATCCTTGGATCAATTAGCTATCAATTTCTAAACAGGCTAGATGGGACAAACACGTTCTCCTGGTTTGTGACTGTTCTTATATTTTTATTAGATAAAAAAATTGTAATATTTTGTACAATTTTATTAAATGGATTTTATTGAAATTCCCCTATTAATAAATGTCTGAGTTCAAGGATTTTTCAAATTCCAGTGCATCTTGAGCATGTGGCAAATATACTCCTTGTTAATTGAATGTTCTGGATATTTCCTCATTTCCTTTTTATTGGAGGTCTGGTACAGTACATTGTATCCATGACAGCATGATAAAAGAATGAATGAGCTACAGTAAAACGTGCCACACAGAAAATGATAGGTTACGTGAAAAAACTAAACAAAAGTCAGCAAAATAAAGCTTACGATTTGACATATTTTATTGGAGTCCCCTTTTCATCCAAAAAACGATACTTTGTGTCAATCACTTCTTTGGTTTTCCCCGTTTCTTCAAAGGCAGACTTCATCTCCACTGACACATACTTGCACACTGTTAAGGACAAAAAGACTCTGATTGCACAAAACAACACAATTGTTTCAATTCAAAGTTTTTGAGTGTCACATCAGTGTGCTGTAAAGCACTTTATCTTTATTGAAGATATAATGCTTCCTTCATATCTGTGGACAAAAATCTAAAGGATTCAACACTAAAACGCAGTATTTAAAGGGCAATGTACAGCTATCGAAAAATAATAGCACCAATTTAATCACCTGGACGCTTTTTAATAATCCTTTCACTATGTGTAGTGTCACTGTATAATGTAAAATTTAAGGCATGCAATCCTTCCAGAAGCAGACTGAAAAATGAATACTAAAAAACAACAAATTCTATATATACAGTATCAAGCAAAAAACACTGAAATGTTAGTAGTTAGCAGCACATGCACTGTTTTGATTTTTAGTACTGCATTCGTTACCAGTTTCACTTCTGCATTTTTGAAAGGGGGAAATTCACAAATAACGTCTTCGCTAATATATAATGAATAACATTATATTAGTATATTTGCACTTAGCTCTCTATTGGCTTTAGGGAAGCAAACCGACCTGTATTGCACGAATCGTAAAATCACCACAAAGATTGCAAACACCATTACTGTGCGCAAATGGATTCAGTAACACAATTACACACACACACACACCAGTCAGTAAATTAAACAAGTGCACATGAAGATCATGCAGTTTTTCCAGTGCCTGGAGAAATACTTCGGCACATTGTACATGCATTAAATAACTGAATTTGTGTTATTGGTGTTCTTTTGAGGGTGCGATTCTGTACTGTAACCCCTAAATACTGTTTACAACCTAATGTTTCAATTGGTAGTGGTGGTGGAGGGGAGTCCCCATTACCTGTAAAGCGCTTTGAGTGAAGTGTCCAGAAAAGCGTTTAAAAGTGTGAGCAATTATTATTATAAACAGCAAAACCGCGGTTTATCGTGCACTTTTAAACTATACATTGTTGTACAACTCAATTAACACAAAAAATCCTCAGAAATCCTCAAAAAAACGATCAGAAAAAAGCAATAACTCGTAAATGCTACAAACAGCAGTTCAGCTCAATACTATTCTTATCTCACCCTCGCATTTATCCGGCAGATGCACCCATTCCTCATCTTCATCTTTTTTTGCCGACTGTGAAAACGTCGTCAGTACGAACAGGCCCAGGAATGCCAAAGTGCGCATTACTGAATATTAAAAGAGAATGACATGAAGCAAGACCGATGCGACCTTTATACTAATATGTACTTTATATATGTTTAACCAAAACTCCCCCTCACTGTTTTTTCCTGAATGAAACTGCTATATCCGCCTTAGCCAGAAGCTACCATGCGCAGCTGGGACTAGCAGTCCAATCAGAGGCGAAGCAGTGTCAAGCTGTGAACCAATCACAGGCCGGACAGGAAGCAGGCTCAAATTTGGCCCAAGAGAAACCATGTGATGCTATAGGGGTTACAGAAATAGAAAAACGGCTTCCAGTTTCATTTATCTTTGGGGATCAAAACATTTTTGTGGGGTTTCTGCAAAAATAAGAATTGTATTTCCCAATGAAGCAAATATGTGTGTCACTGCATCCAGCATGGATCCATCCAGGTGGATGCTGCACATTGGTGGTGGTGGAGGGGAGTCCCCATTACCTGTAAAGCGCTTTGAGTGGAGTGTCCAGAAAAAGCACTATATAAGTGTAAGCAATCATTATTATTATTATTATTATTGCAAAATAATTATTTAATTTTACATTCGATCGAATTGTATGTTTAGCAACAGGTGCCGAACGTTTCACTTTTTTTTCCTTTTTTCAGTACCTTTGAAAGACACTTGTCTTTCTACAGCAAAATCACATAAGCCAGATCCTATCAATACAGCATCAACGCTCCCACAGCTAACATTAAAACTGATCTCTGTAAACAACTCCCTTCTTCAATGCAACATAATGTCATGAATTGTACTGTATAAAGGTGCAATATTGCATATTGCACGTATGAAAGGGTTTTTCTTGCTTATAATTATTCTCTTCTGCAATGGACTGGTGTGCCGTCGAGTATGTATCCTGCCTTGTGCCCATTTGCTGGCCTCGACCCTGCATTGAATAACGAGGTTAAAGGATGGATGAATAACGATGCACTTTATTCAGCTCAGCATGTTTAACTGAGTAACTGTCAGTCCTGCACCTTTTTATGCAATATTTAAACAGGTTTTTGGTTGGAATAAAAGCTATCAAAGAAAATGACTTCCTATTGAAAGAAAAACAATTCCTTAGATATTCCAGGTTCACCATTACATTACAGGTTTAACATAACATTACTACACCCTCTTGTAGTTTTAAATGTTATGATTTTGGAGCAAAATGTATCTAATTAAGCACATAAGTACAAGAAGTGACTGAGCTCTCAGCTGTATGAAAGGGCATTCAATAAAAAGACTTGTAGAAAAATGACAGGATAGTTCTATCTACCTTGAAATAGCCTAGTTTCCTTAGAAATAAGAGTCTCTTTTGTCCTTTTTTAAAATGGTCACAGCATTTGTCTCAACTCGGGTTTTTGTTTATGACCAGTTCCATGTACTTGTAGTCACTGACAATTTCTACAGTCTGACCATTAATTACAGTATGTTGGAGGGGTATTGCATTTTTTTTCTCAAATCAATGACCAGCTCCTTTGTTTTTGGAACATTAAACTGCACAGAGAGGCCGTCGCACCATTTAGTAAAGTCATTTAGAATGGGTCCATGATGGTTTTCTGGGTCCCTTAATAAGGTGCCCAGGGCTGTCTGTGTGTTTGCTTTTACAATCGTTAGTTTACAGTAGGGGAGCAAAACACAGCCCTGCGGTGATCCAGTGGAAGTATAGCGAATGTCAAATAACCAGTTCCCCAATCTGACCCGTTGAGTCCTATTTGTTAAAAAGTTACTGTTTAGTTTGAAGTTCTCTGAGTTTCTGTGCAACCAACAATGGTTGTATTGTGTTAATAGTCTCTCCAGGTTTTTCATTGGAAGAGATACAAGAGCCACTGGCTTGAAGCTGTGAAGCTCAGTTGGCCTGGCAGTTTTTGGAACAGGGATAACGATGGGTTTCTTTCACAGAGAAGGGATGATTTGTAGATTTAAGCACATTTGAAAAAGCATTCTGACAATATCACACAGCTGATCTGCACAAGATTGCAGAACACTTTCACACACATTATCTAGACCTGTGCTCTTTCTCACATTCATTTTCTTAAATGGCTTATAGTACATACCTCAGCTGGTTCAATTTTGATAGACTCTCCAGATACTGGGAGGTCAGCACTGTAAGTTGGGGGGTGGTTGTGGTTTTCATTTCAAAATGGGTGTAAAACACATTTAAATCAATTGCCAGCTGTTGATTAACCATGTAATTTAACACAGGAACAGTATTACCCTTATTCTCGTGAGTGATACTGGCCACGGATTTAATACCCTGTTATGCCGACCTTGAATATCCCACAGCCATGGTATTTTCTATTTTTATCCTGTACTGTTCCTTTGCTTTCCTTATCTCCCTTTTGACTTCTTTCTGTGCTTCCTTCCTAAGCTCCGTGTTCTCTTGAGAGAAAACAAGTTTCTTTTTAAGCAAAACACGTTTATGGCTCTTGGTTACCCGGGGTTTGTTATTGGGTTAAACCTTAAGGCTTTTGGTAGGAATGATGGATGTCTACACAGAAGGAAATGTAATCGGAAACCACCTCAGAGAGTTTGTGAATATCCTTTGATGTGTCTTTAAACACATCCCTTTGCGTGCAGTTGACACAACCCTGTAGCTGTTCAGTTCTGTCCGTGTAGCAGACGGTCATATGCCTTCTCCAAAAGCAGAAAACACATGTGGACTGGATTATCGTTCTCTCACGCACCCTCAAGCAGCTGCGCCAGGGAACAGAGCTGGTCCACTGTTCCACGGCTAGGATAGAATCCACATTGTTCCACCTGCATCTGAGGCTCAACTACCAGGCGAAGTCTCCTTTCCAGTATCCTGGCATAGGCTTTCCCATGGAGGCTGAGGTGAGTGATCTCCCTATAGTTGGAACACACCCTCTGGTCCCCCTTCTTAAATATAGGGAACACCACCCCAGTTTGCCAGTCCAAGGGTACTTTACCCACCTTCCATACAACATTGAAGAGGCGCGTTATCCAAGCTACCCCAAACACTGTCCAGTGCTTTCAACATCTCTGGTCACATCTCATCCACCCCCGCAGTTTTACCACTATGGAGTCCTCGGACCACCATACTGACTTTGGCAACAGTGATGGGCTCCCCTGCACCAGGTATGTCTGTCATTGTCTTCTGATAGGAGGGCACGTCCACTGGGTTGAGGAGTTTCTCAACGTGTTCCTTCCACCATTCAACAATTTCCCCAAAAGAGGTCAGTACTACCCCCTCCCTGCTTAACACACCTGAATTCAGTAATGACAAAGGTGTACAATTTCATCTTAGAAAACATTGCATTTTTAGATGTGTCTACCAGATTAAACCATACTGTTCTATGTTGAGATAAATATAAAAGTAAAAAAAAGGAATGAAGGAATTATGATCTAGAATTCCCATTTTACTCATGAAAATCAACCCTTTCCTTGTTTGCAGGTAGCCATTCTTATTGACTCCAATGTGACAAACATCAATGCTCTTCCCAGGACTATGAACAACAAAAGTATGTTATAGGCTTATTCCATGCTGAAAAGAAAAGAAAGAAAACACATTGTTTCGGCTGTGGAGCCTTCTTCGGGTGTAAGGGATTCGGGTGTTGCCTTACAGGCTCCACGCCGAAACATTGTGTTTTCTTTCTTTTCAGCATGGAATAAACCTATTACTTATTCCTTTGCAGCCTACGCATGCTGACGCAGCTACCCACCTGACCTTCTTCAACTGACCCACTATGCCTTCCTCTAAAACTTTTTCTAGATCTCTTTGTCGTTCCTTCTCTTCCTCCCTGGGCTACTTGCCCCCTTTCTTACTAAACCAGCATTCCGGCTCTTCACAGCGATCTGTTCCAAGACCAGGCTTTCTCACCACCTCCTATTCTTTTACTGATGTCGTTGTTAAAATATAATTCGTAAAGGATTTGGCCTGAAATTGAACACTTTTTCTTTCGACTTCGACTCTGACGTCACATAGAGTAACACTCAGAGACTTCTACAACTTCTACTTTTATTTAAAATAAATTACTCACACCTGAAGAAGGCTACACAGCCGAAATGTTGTTTTCTTTCATCTCTTTTCAGCATGGAATAAACCTACTGTATTACTTGTTCCTTTGCGGCCTACGCATGCTGACACACCTGAACTACAAAAGTATGTTGTCCATTAATGGGGAAGGCACTGCAGCTGCTTTCCAGGTCAACACTTGGGACAGGATATTAAGATAAGATTACTTTATTAGCCATATACAATTTCTTGGATTAGGAATTTGTTTTTTCACATACCCCAGCTTGCTCTCCATGAGACACACAGGCGGGTCAACTGTTTATATGGCGTCCCTGGGGCAGTTGGGGTTAAGGGCCTTGCTCAGGGGCCCAACGCAGTAGGATTCCTCCACCGGACACCGCATTTGAACCAGCAACCTTACAGCCACTGGCGCAGATCCTTAGCCACAGAGCCACTGCTCCACCCCTATTCCACAGAGCACATCATACTCCACGATGGCAGCAAAGGCCTGAGGACCCAAAGAGAAATCAGGTGGTCCATTCCTTCAGGGGAGGGGCTGAGAATGTGACACAGAAGTTCATTCTCATCTGAATAGTGATCTCCACCCTGCTGCCAAGAAAAGACATGCAATACCACACAACCCAAAGAACTCTGAGATCTCAAGAAACCTACAGTACCTCATGACCCCAGCATGTGATCCCAGCACCCAACATCCAGCAACATCCCAGAGAGGAACAGTAGGACACACAGCACCTTCTGGTAAACCACAACTCACAGCCAAAATAAGTAATTGACTGTGGAATAGCCTCCCCCATTCCAAAGTAGTGCATGTATAATAGTGCCGTAATCTAAAAGTCCTAAAAATAAAGGGAAGTTTCAAAGTTTCAATAAAGGAAAGGAATCAAAGAAAGGTTCTGAAGGTTACTGGGTACTGTGTACTCTCAAATCAACGGGCTTGAACAGCATGGATCTACTGGTTAAAAAGATATTGCGTGCAGAACATCTTTCCTCCCGTCAAAAGTAAAGCATTCTTAGCTAAGCCTTAACACAGAAAACAGATAATAAAGAGTTTCAGAAATCAATGAAAGGTTGAATCCAGATGCTTAATTGTGACCTATTTTGAGTAAGGTGTATTTTTCTTCATATGGTTCTGTGCAAGTATTAATTTCGCATAATTACCTGCAGAATAGCAATTCTGGAAATCTAGTGCACGCGATACACCGCGGTTCCACCATGTCGTACATGGTATGCCTATGCGTAATTGCGCATACACAAAAAGGTTCGGTTTCTAAAAATGCAATTAGCTGTTGGGCGGGGCCATATGTGGGGTTGGTGGTATGTGTACATCACACTGTGTTAACACCATATTGTTTTAATGTTGTAGAAAAAGTTCTCAAACTCGTGATTTTGATGATAAAAATGACAAGTGGTTTGTGCGTTTTCCTTGCAAAGTGACGTGTATCTGTACGGAAGCGCATTGCCACCATCAAGGGAAAAAAAAGAATGATCATTTGAGTGTATGAACAACCTGTGTAATGACACCACCTAGTAACCATTATTAGCCGAGCAACAACTTTAGGGGTTAGTGCTCGCGACAATGTCAAACATTGCATGGTGTGCACGGACTGACTTTCCACTGGGGTTTATTCAAAGAAAATGTTCATGATTTATTTTCTCGTAATTACGAGATAACGCATAAACTATGTTTTCCCTGATGGCAGCAATGCGCTTCCGTACACCTGAAACGCCGGGTGTAAGAAAAAATGGGCATTTAAATTATAAAGCTGTGAAAACACACTTAATCATGCTTAACAAAAAGTAGTTTGATTTATCTAAGTCATTTTAGTACGCATTTGAAGTTCCAAACAAATCGATATCGAACATTGAGCTAAAAACATCGCCCAAATGCAATTTCTACAAGTGTTACCAACTCCCAAAAATAACTTAAAAGGTCTCGGACAAACTATTATTTGCTTTTAAGCACAAATGGCTAAGAAGGCTCAATTTCTAATTTACGTAAACCGTTTTAGCCACCTGAAATTGCTTTGCTAATTAGAGCACTTTTGTACCGGGCCGTTTCGAACGTCTCTCTCTCAAAGGAATCTTTCAGGCATCGCTTTCTTTCGTCTCTACACGGTGAGACATAATGTACTGCGTTTAAAATGCAAAAAGGCTTAAAGAAATATTTTATGAACATGGATGATTATCTTGCAAGCATTGGCCTTTACAGAAAAATGGTAGCAAGGGACGCGTCCTGTCTTTTCCGAGCGGTTTCTGAGCAGGTAAGTCAGCACATATATTTTGGAATAAAGCTGTTGCACCTTTCACAACATTTTCGAATTCCCCACATTTTGGTGTTTGTGAATGTCGTGATCTTTGCTTTATAAACCTTAATACCCAATTGTTTATCGACTTGTTGGTTAAGTGTAAAAACAAGGTAAACACATTGCAAGATTTTATCATATTATTTGAACATGATAAAGTATTGTAATTAGATGTGTAATTGTGTGAAATGTTACGGTCTTGGCTCTCCCATTTTCAGAGACTTAACACTTAAAAACGCATAATTTCGTGTAAAGCTTATGTTTGTGTTATTCAGGGTTAATTGTTCAATGTTGCATTCAGTATCGGTTTATTTACATTATCTTTCTCTCTAGCTTTATTGCTCGCAAAATTACCACCAGGACGTCAGGAAAGCCTGTGTTGATTTCATGAGAGCCAACAGGTGCAACTTTGAACCTGTAAGTTGTCTTGCATTACATTATTAAGACTCATTCATTTCCATTTAAAACAACGTGAAATGTAAAATAAACGCTTTTATGCTATTTAATTTAAAACAAAACGTCGACAAACACCATCGTGCCTTTATTTTGAACGTGATAAAATAGTGTAATAAGATGTGATAATGTGTGAAATGCTATAAGGTTTGGGGTTTATCGTTCTGAAGCTGACACTGCAGAAATAGTGGTTATAGAATGACAAATTCATCGAATCCTGAATACAATACACTTGAAAGATTAGTATTTAAAATAACTTGAAATTAACTCCGTCTGCAGTAGAAACGCTTTCCTAGCATTTTAACAGATATACGTAGGGACGTCCACGTGCCTCGGACGAGTAACTGAAACTTCTTGGGTGTTTATTGAGGTAAATTTAGAAACGTCTGAGGCAGTTGAATATTTTAGTTTCTTTTCGGCTTTGAAGGTTGAGGTTTTGAAATGGAAGGAATGCTCAAACTGAGCTTCAAACCTTTACTAAATGAAATGGATTACAGCATGAGACCTGCTAATACAATCGACTCTAGAAGTGTGAAAAATAATGCGATGTAATTTTCTATTTTACTCGATTATTTGCATTTATTTTTTAAAGATGCAAATTTCGAGATTATAATATAATCCGTATTTGTGTTGCCCACTCTGTCGTGTTCAGAGGTGAAAAGAGCTCAGCACAACGGATTTAGCGGTTAATCAGAAAGATAAGCAAATTAGCATGAAGGTAAAGTAAATGGCATGTTTTAAACAGGTGGCTTCAAATGATGGCTACATTAAAAATAAAACAAGTGTAGTCGGGCCATGTATGGTAATTAAACAATAGTGTCAGTTTAATTAAGGTTATGTACCCCATTTGCACTAATTGAGTTTCAGGCCAATTTCATACTCCTACTGTGTGTCAGGTGCTAACTCTAAATTAAATGCATTAGAAGATATTTTAAGCAAACTTACATGCCACTGCTTTAAAAAAAGGTGCTCAGGAACCAGCCCATCAAAGACTAGCAAGACTGGTAAAACCTGGAAGTCCTATGCTGACAGCCTAAAAAATATTTTTTAGGATTGAAAAAGTTCATATGATGATGAGGAAACCCGATACAAGTATTCAAAATCATCATTGGCATTTAAAGTAGAGTTTTTTTTAGAATGAACTGTAAACAGGATCCAAAGGACATACGTGGAAACTGAGTGGATGTGCATTTGAAAGCGGGAATAGGAGACTTTTCTTTACACAAAGGGTGGTGGAAGTAGGAAACAAGCAGCTCAGCCGTATAGTTGAGGCAGATATTGTGGCTTCCTTTCTCTGCTGGTTGGATGAATTAACTACTAACTGGCAAATAGGTTAAATGGCCTCCTCTCATTTGTAACCATTATATTCTTAGTTGTCCCTTGAGGTCTGTATAGTTATAGAAGAAATAAAAAATACAAAATCCTGTTTTAAATTTTCTAAAAATCCCTTAAATTGGGATTTTTAATCATGGAATACCTTTTCTGTTTTCTTTCTTTCTAGTTTGTGGAAGGATCTTTTGAGAAGTACTTGCAGCGTCTGGAAGATCCAAAGGTACGCCCCTCTGTGATTTATCCTGAAACTCCTCTCGATGTGAAGCTTTAAGTGGTTCTGTAATGGTGTCACTTCTTGTTTTAATGCTTTTCATTGTAGGAAACGGCTGGCCAAGTGGAGATTAAAGCTCTTTCTCTGCTATTTAAGTAAGTTATTCTCTACCGTGGGGGTACAGTGTGCAACGATAATTGGGTTCTGTGGCACCTTCTGTATATACTTCCCTCTAAACTGTAATTGTTTTAATATGATCACAGTGTTCTGATATTAAGTTCTTAATAGAGGTTTCTTAAATACTTTAAAAAGAAGTACAGCACTAACATTGCATAACTGCAAGGACTGGCACTATGCTGGGGAAGAGTAATCACTAGATACGGATTATATACATTAATGCCAGGTTAAATACACAACACCTTCATTAATGCAATTGGGTAAATGTCTTCAAAGAATATTGATTTAGGTTTTGTTTTGATTTCACCACTATGAAAGACGTTTAGATCAGTTCTGAATATTTAACACGCCTTTAACGGGGAGCTGTTTGAACAGGTAACTGAGGGGTTGATCAGTGATCATAGCTACTTAACTAGTTTATGATGCTGAAGAACACCTTTTTCTAGAACTGAAAGCAAGTTCAGTTTGAACTGAGCCCAAGGCAACCGAACGTTCACATTCCATTAAGCCTTCCCATTCGGAAAGCTCTTCATGCATGTTTTCCCCAAGTGGGTTGATTAGTCAGCGTTAAGGTAATCTGAGAGGAGCTTGTGAAGAAGCCTGCTCGCATATGGTGTTAGTGCTGTAGTTCTAATTGGAGATGAATAGTTTTTCAATTACGAACTGTTTGAGCTGGAGCCCAGAATTGCTACTGTTGTAAGTGTTTTAATATGCATGGTTCATGCTGTTCTGTTTGCATTATGAATTGCTCACTGGACAGCTTTTCAAAATCTTTTAATTTGACCTCTTATTTATTTTGAACCATATTCTGGTTTTTATATTTGATTGTAGGCGCCAGTTTATCATTTATAAGTCCCCTGGAAAATCGCCTACTGAAATTGCTGAGAATGAGTGCCCAGAAAAGGTAATGAGCTTTGTGAAAAGGATTGTCACTCTTCTTAAACCACCCGTTTTCCTGAAACCTGGCATAGTTCTGTATTTTTTGCAATTGTTTAAATAATGAGCCATCTGACTGAGGCAAACCTTGGGTTGAAACACCTATCATTAACCTGCATGGTCACAACCAGGGTTTTTTTGTCCTTATCCTATGGTTAGGAGGTCTGATGTACAGGATTTTGAAGATTTTCCTTAGGTTGTGATTCTGGAGAGGTGCTTAGAGCTCTGAAAAAGATTGCAGGCATTCAGTAACAGTCTCCCTGTTATTTGAAGGTTAAGAGAGGGGTGCGAATGTTTTGTTTACAGCTGATGTACGGTTTATTATTTGACTGCCATCACTTTAGATGGAGAAATGTCCCAGATCAAACTTAAGGAAAATATTTGCGTTTGTTTACGTCGCCTGACTTCAAGCCAAAATATAGATTGGGATTTCAGGTGTAGTCTTTCAGTGAACCCTGGTAAAGGCTTGATATATTTTTTTACTTCACCACTATGGGCAACAGTTCACATCCTTTCCTTAAATGCATAATGCCAATTATCAGGTTTCCCTGATTTACTCAGAAGTAACTTTTTTTACTTGAAGAGCAGTGCTGTGAGGTTTAAGGCACTAAATGTGGAAAAACAAAATACTTAGTAACACATATTAGTGTGCCTGTGAACACCATTGATTCTGGAAGTCAAAATAATAGTGTATTTCAGCAGCAAACCATAAACAGTCCTAGGCTTGCTGAGCACTGCAGTTTAAGAATTGAGTAAACATGCAAGAAACTGACCAAATTCCAGGAAAATATTTAACAGTGCTGTATTTACAGTATATTGGTGTGATGGGGGGGAAAAAGGAAAGCTTTTATTGATAGTTATTCCTGTAATTTGCATAGTAGGCTAAAATATTACAAAAAACATCTAAATATTTCAAAACAAACTTTTAGCAGAGGTCTGGCGAGATTCTTTGGAGGATGGAGGATGGGAACATTTTAGGAAATAACCAAAGTACAGTGCTGTAACTGTATAGAAATTTACAGATTTTGATATTTGAAAAAGCCTCACCTAGATCTGGAATAAAATAAATTGCTAGACAGAAAAGGCAGGTTTGTAATCTGTGGAAACACTTTGTTGTCTGGGCAGTCTTTCAATAAAAAATCAGCAGAGACTGTCTTGCTTTGAAGGCGGCACTAATGTGATATTCGCCATTGTTTAACCCTAAGCTAATACTTAAGTGTTCTGGTGAGATTTAAAGTTAAAATGAACTGGTAAAATTTGGTGCTTATATTGGCTAAATTAGTTTTTGAGGCTTATGGTAATTGAGAGTAACTGAGAGTTACTTTTGCAAACCTTGTTCTTTGGACGGGTGTCTAGTGGTCTGTGGCTGGCACTGTCCAACTTGCTACTCTTAGAAATGGAAAAAGGCTAATACACTGGAGCCATAAGGACCAGAGGTTGTGAATGCTACAACAAAGAGGTTTAATCTAAGATTTGAATATTTGTTCTCCTAACCCCCCACCCCCCCTTTTCTGTATTTGTGTTGATATTTTGGGATTTATAAGGAAAAAGACTACAAGTGCTAACATAATGCTGTGTAGTACTTTTAACAATTAGATGAGACAGCTCTTAAACAGCAGATGGAGCCATTTCTATGCGCTACAGGCAGCAGAATTTAAATATTTTACCTATCATATGACTAAATGTAAACCAACTGTGAATTTCTAGCTGAGTTTTTCGATCTAGACATTTGTATTAAAAATTCATGATTGGGGGTTTTAATTTTCTTCTTTGTGCATTGTATAACAGCTTTTGTGTTGCTCAGATGTACAGTATTAAATTTTATATGGAGAGCACAATCTTATTAAATTGTAATTGAACCTGAAACTCAATTTCAACACTTTCAAGTTTTTACCATGAATTATTAAAGTTTGTGAAGGCTTTTTGATATGATTGCATTGCAAATATTCAAAAAGGTGAAGCATTCCTGTTGGCCTTCTGTATATCATTTATTGATTGGTAAAATACTGCCTAGAGAAGACCTTCCATTCAGTCAAGAGACACCATGTGCATTGAATTGTCCCTCCCTTGGTTTCAGATTTTACTGTGCTGCTCCAATAATGGCCACTATGATATTGTTTATCCAAAGCACTACCCAACTGATGCTGCCTTGTGCCAAGGTGAGTACTTCAGTTCAGGAGGTGCTCTCTCCAATTCCAGTGTCAGCTGAGTTATTTGAATAAGCTCTTGATTGACTCAAGCAACTTTTGGTTCTTTAACTGCTTAAGATATTAAGTTTGATTTAAAAAAATAATTTGAATATTTTTGTCAAGAATAGCTCCCTTGATATACACATTACAGTATGTAGTTCTTGGAAGGTCAGCTGTTAAGTCTCTAGAAGCTTAGTTTCATGGTTGCTGAAATGATTGTAGTATTTTTTGTAATTACTCTTGGGTATTTGGGTTTTTTTTATACAACATTTTTAAATCTTGCATTTCTACTCCAGATTTTCTCATACTTTGAGGCGCTTGAAATAAGACTACTATAAATATAAACTTTTATAAAATCCTTTATGCTATAATACATTCTAAGTGACCCACTGTGTCCTAAAGAAGCAATATTCATCGTCTTCTGAAATTATAATAATGAACTTCATTTTATATAGCACTTTTAAAGGTGGCTTCTTAAAGCATTTTACAGAATGACAACAAATAGAAGAAATACACAATGAAAACACATAATGAGAAGAGACAGTAGATGGGGGTATTAAATACAGAAAGAGCAAAGCAGTATATACTGTACCAGCACCAGTTAAGTTCTAAATAATTTAGGTTAAGGTTTTAAGACAAATTTGAAAGGGAAGATGACTTTCTGACACAATTGTATCCGTTTTTAGTCATTACTTTTAGTCATTACAATTGTAATTATATTCTTGTGATTTGTAAAAAGTTTACAGAGCTTTACTGGAGCAGTATTTTACAGCTAATCTCTCTCAGTGATCACGAATGCGCAAAGAGAAAACTCACAAGTGCATTTTACTCAATGCAATTGGTGAGGGAATGACAAACAGAATATTTGGGGTGGACCTATCTTCTATCCACCAGGTTCATTTCTGAAAAAAAAAATGAAATGTATGTTCGCATTGCTGCCTGGAGCTGGAACTGGAAACCCCCTGGAATTAATCCCAGGACCCCAGTGCTACCTAACCACTGTGCTACCTTGCTGCCCCTAATGCTATTACGGGATTAATAACTTTTCACGTCTATAGGGTGCCAAATGGAGATGCTTTCCGATTTTGCTGTTCTCTTTCCAAGGTATTGTGTATGAGCTGCTTTACAACAGAGTGTTCAGCATTGAAGAGGTAGAGATCCAGGGGGCACTGGAGGCCTTCCACAGTGGCGGGCACAGATACCACAACAGCACCTCTGTGGGCAGTGAGGATGCCAGCTTTGACACCCCTGATGACAAGACCCAGAGGAGCTCTTCAGAAAACAAGTAAGGCCTTCCATGATGCGCACATTCCAGAATATAGAGAACACCAACCCCCTTCCTTATTATTATTATTATTATTATTAGTTATTTTGGAGTCTGCTTCAGAACAATGGTTCTGTTTTGTAATACTGTAGTAATTTGGAAAATGTTTACACCGGGAGGAGGCTTAACCATAAGAGACTGTTCTAACATGCTATAAACTCAGGAAATGACTACTCCCATCTCAATTCAAGCAATGTTTCTTTAGTTTTTCAAGATGGTGGTTCGAGCGTTAATGCACATCTCCTTTACCACGATAAGGATGACGAGGCTTATTTCTGCGAAAGTATTGTCTTTAATGCATAAATTGCAAAATTTTAAAGGGCAAAGATTACTTACCTGACATGATTCATGTTTTGATGCATTTCTGAGCTCCCATCTTATGTTGTACACTTTCTCTAATCTGACCTTGCCTCCTCTTATTACACGTAGAAGGCATGATTCCTTATGAAGTTATGCAGTTAGGACTCACTGTGACATTCCTATTGTGTCATTATGCAATTCATTTGGAGCATACAAGTGTTATACATTATTTCTAAAGGTCAGCCACAATTCTTCACTCTGGGTTTAAACTTTTAAGAATAATTCTTGCATCCTTTTGCAAATTCTTAAGCTCAGTAGTGGGTGATTATAGTTTATGGTTGCCTGCAGGCAACTGAAAGAGGATCTGAGAATTTTGAGAGTGGAGCAGGAGTGCCCTGCAGGAGTTGAAGTCAGTTCTCAGTGGTGATGTGGTCTGGGTCATACTTAAAGCTGTTTTTCAGTTTTCTCATCAATACATTTTTCCCGTGTATTTTTGAAAAAGCATACAAAACCTTGGATACGCTGATTTATTTAGTATGTTAGTAGTAATCTTTAAAAGTGCACCAAATTTGATATCAAAGTATTACTGCACTTTTGTATAGCCAAGGCACAGATGTGAAAAGCCCATGTCAAATACAGTTGCATTAAAGACTTGACTAGATCTGTACATATGTATTTCGTGCTTGACGAAAGTGCTTTTTTTGTTCACCCCAAGGGCTAAATTATAGATTTCTGCTACAGTTTATTGGACTTTATTTCATGTAGATAAGCTGTGTGAATTCATAAGACGTTGTGTACTCTAATTAGACAAAAATAATACTGAAAGGAGCAAACTGTAGCTGTTATTGCGTATTCAATGTGCCCATTCCCTGTACCAGAAACATCTGAACTATTATTTTGAATGCAGTCCTGCTAGAGACAGTGAGAATTAACTTGGACCTTTTATAAACTGCCATTGGAGACTATATCACTAAGGACAATCTTGTTTTATTGGCTAATTATTTCCATCTATAATTAAATAGCTGACTTTTAACAATACTTTTTGAGGTTTTTAAAAGAAGGACTTCATAATCGATTGCAAATCTGCCTTAGGGAGGAGTGGGAGACAAGTGGGCAGAACCGCTGTGAAGGAAAACTTGGGACAGATGATTCTAAGGTGAGAATTGGTTTCAAACCTGAGGGGGTGGACTATGGCCCACTGCTGAGAGATCTCAATGTTGATCATGTTAAACTATATATAATGTGAATAATGATTTAGACAGTTGTCAGTGTTGTCTATGGAACAAAAAGTTTTGCCCTCATCTGGCAAGTCCCCGAATTGCTAAAACAAATTTGTACTGAGCCACTTCTGTATTATACTTCACAGTCTTAATTACAGTACTTTTAGCTGATTTGTGTAGCCAGTAGCACTGTAATCTGCTTTTGTAACAGTTGGAGAGAACTCCCGCCACAGAAGACTGTGGCACAGCTCTTTGGTCTGCTAAATCATGCAACTTGTAACATATGGGACGGGCAGAAACCCCGGATGGTTTGCCTTTCTAGACGGAAGCATACTGTAGGTAGTGGAAAGAAATGTTTGGAAAGAAAAGTGATTAAAAAAAGGAGCTAGTTGATTTGAATAGTTAAAGTCTACCTGAGAGACTGAGGACCGCAGGTTAGTTTGTCACTATGGAAATGAGGCTTAGTCTGCAAACTTTCTGGAGGTTCAAAAGGTATCTGCATACTGAAATGAATGAAATCTACTAGTTTGAATGCTTTCTGTTCAGTATTCAATCTAAATTGTGTTATTTTGACTTACACTATTTTGGGGGACAAGGAAATGGTTTCTTTGTAGCTGGTGTTTAATGTGATGTGGTTCAGAGGTCTGACTAAATTCTGGCTTGCCTGCTCTTCACTAGACTGAATCCCCATCTGCTCATCTTTCAAATACTTGCTTCTCTTCAGGTTGCATCTTTGCTGGTTTCATATCCTTATCGATTCTTACAGAGCAGCATCCCAACTCCAGATGAATTTACTTGTTCCTAAATATCTAAAATCACATTTTGATTTAAAAGCCACATTGGTCTGTATATTCTTCATCCTTTGAGGTTTCTATAGAAAGGGTGATCTATGGGAGTTAATAGCTCTCCAGGTGCATAGCTGTTTTAGGATGACTAATGCTGGAGGGTTTTTTTTGTCCACTTGGTGAGTGTGATATTACTCCTCCCATCAGCTGTTAAGCTTGTGTGAAAGCTCTTTTTACAGCTGCCCTTTATGTCCTAGATGTCAGATGGACTGCCAAAGGTGTCTTTTCCATACAAAGTGCTAAAAGCTCTGGACTCTGAGATTTACCGCAATGTGGAGTTTGATGTCTGGCATGACAGCAGAAAAGGTATTTTAGCAGTTATGGTTTCATGTTGTGAGAAAGGAAGATGGAGCGTTTGTAACCAAAGAAATTTAAATCTTACTGTATATCCATTCATTGCTGCTAGGTATTTACTTAGCCATATTACTACTCATAATTGGAATTTCAGTTTAAATGGAGAAAATTAGAGAGAATGTGAAACAATACAGGTAATTAACTCAAAATATCAGCTCTGCTTTGGAGAGAAACTGTAACTTGGCCGAGCATTAATTATTTCACTTGTAATACCTGATCTTAGTTGATGTATGTCATTCCACAATGGACTTAGCTGAGGCTGACATCCTGACAAATTCCAAAAAAATAAGATAATATTGTAAGTGATTACAAAGCTATGTACTGTTAAATCTGGCTTTGGTTTTAAGAATCCCAATTTTTTAAAACCTGAGTTTGATTTTTCAAGGTGGACAGTTTTAAGAGGGGCAACAATTGTGCCCCTTCAGTCCAGAGTTCTTCCTATAGTGATCAGAATGTGAGTGCTAGACGCTAAGCTCACTTCAGCACAGTGTTCTGTACCTTGTTGAGACAAGTATGCTGGTAATGGTGTTTGCTTCCCATCATTCCATGTTCACTTACTTTTTCTTCCTTTGTTTTTGATGCAGAGTTTCAAAAAACAGACTACATGGTATTCGCTGGGAGACAGTACTTCTTGGGTGACAAGTGCCAGGTATAGAGCTGATTTCAGCACAGCCACAGCTACAGAATCTGGAAAAGGAATCTTCAAAGTTGAGATGTTTTCTCAGCACCTTGTAATACCTGAAGTATCTCTTTCTCATGGCTGTGTTTGTGAAAACAAGTGTTTGCATTTCTTGAGACACCGTTGAACACCATGAAGGATCCAGAGCACATTGAGTTCAGGTTGACTTGGGTTAAAATGATGCCTTAGTAAAATGAATTTACCCCACTATGTGAGAGCTGGCTTTGTAGTTGTTTATAATATGACTTAGATGCTACCTTTGGGGTTCTCAGGATTTTCTCTTTTTTCAGATTAATGTTGCATGATGCTGAATCCTTTTCTTCTGTTTTCAGGTTCGCCTGGAGCCCGGTGGGAAGTACTACAATGCTTTTATCCAGGAAGTGGGCCGTAACACCAATGCAGTGACAGTGTTTATAGAGGAGCTTGGAGAAAAGTGAGATCCTTTGCTTGTGTTCAGATTCTTCTAAAAAGATAATGTTTGTGTATCATAGTCTGATTTTTTTAACTCCATTTCCTTGCAGTCTATGGAGAACTTGAATCTAAAATCCTAGCCGTTGTGCTTTAAAGACTGCTGGCAGGTGACCCATGTGAAATGTTTTGCAGACACCTGGTATCTCTAACAAATCTGAGGCCTGTGAACCTGGTGCCAGCCTGGAACATCACACCCAACAGAAAAGGAGGAACATACAGCCGGATCTCGGACATGTATCCACCTGAGCTAGGTGTGTTTTCTCATCTCGATTTCAGATGGAGACGGACCTGATGTTGGACACTTTCTAAATCGGCAACAGTACATTAGCAAAACCAGTATCTTTGGCTGCAGCCTAAAAGTCAAGTACTGTTGTTCTAAATGGCTTACCAAGTCCTGGTCTTGGGAACTTGCTCCTGCAGGGTTTAATTATACTCGAGCTCAGTAGTTCAGAATACTGAAAACTCGGAACAAAAACTAGCCGATGTTTGTCTTCAGGACCAGGATTAGGAACTCCTGACTTATCCAAAATATTCACCCTGTGATAAGTATCTAGCAAGATTGCTTTTTAATTAAGCAGTACCCCATGCCAACTGTGTTGTAAGGTCACATTTCTTTTTTGTGCTACTTGGTAAAGAGTATATAGTTTCTAAATACTATACTAGAAGTACAAATTTTCATCTTGGCAGGGCTGTAACTACAGGTCGGTACCTTCTTACCATGTTTAGTTTTCAAAGTCCTAAACTGGTGAAGCTACAATTATCCAGATAAATTCATTTATTGTGTAGTAACTTAAGTCTCAAGTTTCACTGATTCTTCCTCTTTTGCGTTTTCTCAGGCCCTCATTAAATCTTAATCTCTAAAGTGGTAAAATTATTTTACTTGTGAGGAAAGAGGTGTAACTTCAGAAAGTGTTTTAAATCAAGCCCAAATTTTACTTTTAAAGTGCACAGTTAAATGAACACTTTATGGTGTCTTTTGCTTTTATTTGTTTTCTGACTTTCATTTCTTTTCACGGCACTCAAGACTAAACTGCGCACACTTTATAAAGTAAAGGATCAGAAGGAATGATAAGGAATGTACCTAAATATTGCCACAATACCCCTTGGGCTATTGTAACTAATTTACAAAATTTCAAGTATTTTCAGAGGCTATTAAATTTTGACGACATATTAAATCATTAACATGGTGACTTATCATAAAGTTAACATGGTGACTAATCATAAAGTTTGTCACCCAGAACATCTGGTAAAATGCAGAAGCAGTTATAGTTTCATTAAGAATGTTCTGATTGGATAGAATTAGTTGTGAACTTGTTTCACAGTGTAGTGGCAAAAATGAAATAACGCCTGCACATTCTGGTCTGTGAAGAAGAGGAGCTTGAGTATAACCATGTTTGTTTATTGGACAGTGTTTTGGGTGGTCAACATGTGTTAAAAGTACCGTAACGGTTATGGCCACCATTGAGTGTGAAAGCCGGTTTACCAGAGCAGTGATGTCGCTGCCTTTCCCTGTAATAGCAGGGCCCACAGCCACTGGGCTGGAGGGAGATCCCTCTTTAGCTCAACAGGCTGGATCCCTGTTGAGTGAAGCCGGAGGACCGGGTTCGCGTCCCTGACGGTGGGGGGGCCGACCAGATGCGGCGGCAAGGGTGCCCAACTGAACCCCGAAACGTTACAGTATTATTGGAAAGTTATGTGAACATGTGGCTGTAGTTATTTGTCTAACTAGAAAACATGGAAGGATTTTTTAAAACATCAACCATAACAGTTTTGCTTGACCAAGAAAATGTACGCAAACGCTTTTTGATTCTAATTCTCAATGGGACGACACTTTCTTGTGATACAGATCAGGAGATGCGAGGCCGGAGACGTTTCTATAAGAAACCCCGTGGGAAGGAGATGTACTTGGCCATGGCCTACAGCAGGGGGCAGCCTGGCCTGCCCCCTCGTCTCCAACACGGCCTCCCCTCTGGCAGGACACCGGCCATTCACCCTGCTGGCAATACTGGCCTGGCACCATACGAGCAGTGTCGCCTCCATCCCTCGAACCAGAGGCCCGGAAGAGGCTATGGGCCTCCCAGGTGAGCCTGTGCTCTTGGACAATGTTTCCTGTGTAAAAGTGGCGATATTGGATAAGCTTCCTCGATCTACACGCTGAGCATTACTGTCTGTCTGGTGTTTCTATATCCGATAACTTCAGCTTAGACTTTTTTGCACCTTGTTTTCTGGTACACCATTCAAATTGGTCCCAGGATAGATTTGGACACTGTCTTAATGAGGTCTTTTATGCGATATAGTTATGAATCCAGAACCACTGATCTAAAGTGGTTAAGGTTGTGGGATCAGATAAAATGGGTATTTCACCAAAGTTGTTACAGTGTAGTACCCAACTGTATAAAAAATGCCCTAAAACCTTCAAACAGTCCATCAACTGGACCTACCTCTCTCTGAATCAGTTCCTGCAAGTGGTTTGCAGTAGCAGTGGTTGATGACCGAAAGTGAGAGCTGTTCACGCCTACTGAGTGTCTAGATTTAACTGCAATACTTTATCTGGGGCTTCCACCTGTATAATTCAAGAGTTTGTCACATGCTTAAAATTGGGCGGTACAGGTTACTAGGACATGTACCTTATTCGTTTGCAGGGCAAGGTGTCCATTTTGTTTTACAATTAGTGCACGTTGGCAAGAACATCTATCTTGCAGTCAGACCTGTTCTCAAAGTTATGTAAGCCAAAGGGAACCAGTGTTCTTGAAGCATCATCTATGTGATCTTTTCTGCACTCTGAATGCCTGATGGAGGGTATAATTTACAGAGCTGCTTGATTTATGCCGACAGGCTTTAGTGGATTGATTTTTTTTTTGTGCGTGTGCTTAGTTTCCTATAATTGAATCGAGTGGTAATACAATTTTAATTAATGTTTTGGTTGACTGGAACCAACCAACCAAATTAAGCCTGCAATTGCATCATTCAACCAATTTTGTTCTTTGTTGCTGGGTGATTATTTCTTGTGATTGTCATCTTAATTATTCTGAAGTCTTGGCTGCTGTTCAAAAAAGGTGTGCCGCTAATAAACTTAATACTCCCAAATGTGGAATCTGTAGATGTGCAAGGCTCGTCTCTATCATGCCAATGTGTTTGGGAGTACTGCAGAGCCTTTCTTTTGGAAACATTCCCAAAAAACATACACAAATGCAGCAGCTCCCATTGACAAGCTAACAGGACTTAAGAATAGCCTGCCTGACTCTGAGCACACACACCTTTGATGCTTGAGAAACCCAGGTCCCAGCCACTAAATAACACAGATCAAGTTCAGTCTGCATTACAGGGCTCACCCGGTGCTGCTGCTACTGGCCCTTATTCTGTTTGAATTGTGGAAAAGTCTGAGTCACTGTGCTCCCCCTCCCAGAAGCCTAAACCTAATTATACTTAGCGATGAGAAACAATTGTAATTTTATGGTTTATTTGTCAGGTACTTAGAGTAAGTAAAAATAATTTTGTGTGTAATACTAAAGAGATTTGGCTTGTGTAGAAGAATCTCTCCGCCCGCTTTTTATACAATTTCTTTGTTTTAAACAGAAATTCAGCCCGCTTCATAAATAGACACCAGTTGGCCGGGCCTGAGATACCGTACTGCTCCAACCCAGGCAAGAGGTGTTATCAGAGCTTTGACAGTTACTCCTACAGATCACGGTAAATGTCAATATACAAAAAAAAACTAAAGAAAGAACTTCATCTTGTCCATTTTAAATTTTAAAATTTTAAATGTACATTTTGAGCAAAAAATGGTTTGAACCACAACATCTGAAACGGTGTCCCAGGGACACGGGTCATTAGCTATTGCTGTACTGTACAAGCTGACATCTTGATTTAATTTCCTTTATTACACCTCCCCTCTTGCCCTGCCTTCCAAAGTTATTGATTTTAGTTAGTGTTAAAATGTTCATAGGTAGGCTTGGAACCATTTAATTCAAAGTAAATTCCAAATTCAAGTGGATGGGGAGTTTACTTCCCAAAGAAGTCTGGTTAAACTGATGGGGTTACCTGGGTTTCATCTCATCCTCTTCATCGCACAGCAGGCCCAATGCCACATGAAGCACTTGGCTTCTAAAAAGAGCGGATTGTTTTGTGTTTGAGGTCCTGTAGCAGAGGGCGACAGCAGGTGCACTGCGTTAATAAGGAATGCCAGTTCAACTTTGTGCCGGAGAATGGGGAGGAGACGCAGGGAATGGAAGGCACGGTTGCGTTCTACGAGATAGAAGAGGGCGATGAGGCGGCCTTCCCACCCCTTCCGGTAGGTCCCAAAGTTAATCTGTTCTACAGAGCACCCTGTCAAGCTCTGTACAGTGCTCCCTGGAGTCAGCTGTGGTCTTGCTGTGTATGCTACAGTACATCAATGCAGTTTTATGTACTGTAGCTCCTGTTGTCTTCATATTTATAGAACATGCAGAATACAGATCTAGTAACTAGATATGAATATGCAGTCTTGTTTTACAGCGGAGACTAGAATTTTTCAGCCATTGTATAGTTATGTAAACAAACTACTGTAAATAACCACTTTTTCCTGTTAGAAAAGCTTGTAATGCAATCCAGTAGTCCTTGGGAGATTAATTAGGAGGCAAGTTGTAGTGTTCAGTGTAAATGCCTTGTTTATACATCTGGCAACAATTGCCAAGGTCAAATTATAGCAGTCCATAGTAAAAGCTTCTGTATGTTAGTGAATAATTTTACAATCTCTTGTGGACCCAGAGTTGCAAAAATATTAATTTAACATGCTCTATTAGCCCTATGATTTGTTAACTGTCTTGTTTCACAAAGATGTTATTGGTTTTGACAAAGATGTATATTTGACATGTCTTTGTCAAATATACATTTGTACTCCCTTATATTCATATCTTTATAGTTTCTTAAAGGGGAACTGCAGTCTCAATTTCTCTGGCTGGTTACTAAGTCTTGGTAACAAAACAAATTAATGGAGGGTATACAGTAGAATCATTTTACAAACTTAAAATTAAGCGAGGGTGCGATGTGTAAATTTTGACGTGCTGGACCCCTCTAAGAGCCTATAATGGTTCCAAAGAGATCCGATAACCGAAGAAAACTGGATTACAGTGATCGCAGACATTTGAGATGGGGAAACACAAAACAGTTGAGACTACAGAATGAGGTTTGAGAGAGATTGGGAGATGTGGATTATTTTTGCTATCCAAAACTATTGAGTTTGTTTCTTGAATTTCATGTTTATTTCCCCTTCCCTCCTTTCTCCCTAGCATTATACTTCCTTGTCGAACTGGAAAAGAATGTTAAGTAGCAGAATCTGCGTTCATTCATACTAATGTTTCCAGGCATCACAAAACTTTATATTGATAAATGTTTTTTTATTTATGGCACAAAGTTGAACAGATATTTGTATGTTAAACTAATAAAATACAGGTTTAGAAAGCAGGCATTTATCTAAATTCCTATACCTTTTGGCTTTAGAAAATTGATGGGCTTTTTAGATTCTATTTCAAGGCAAACCTCTTGTTTGGTAAAATGTGAAGCTGTCATGAATCCATCTTTGTTTTCCAGGGACAGGCTGTTGCTGGTCCTGTGGTTTCAGCTTCTGCAGCATTTTGGCTACAGCGGGGCACAAGTCCTGTTCCATCAGGGAAACAGGCTGTGACTTCATCTGAGGAAGATGTGGATGAACGAAGCAACAGTGGTAAGCACAGATTTACAGGATGTGCCCAGTGCTGCTTACAGTATATAGGCTGATGACACCATTGGTTAAAGTTAAACACATTATGCACGAATCTAGTGTAACTACAGAGACATGTATGCCATTTTCTGTTTTTGTTTTTTATGAGAACATAAGACTATAAAGGAGGGATTAATTAAATCCTCTTTATTTCTTGGCTGCAAGTAGCTTAATATTCCAGAAATTCCATCCAGCTGTTTAAGTCATTCATGTGTTGACTATGCATTCAGGGAGCTAGTTGTGTATTTCCAGAATCATCTGTTTAAGGAATTTTTTACTTCAAAAACCATCCAACTTAATTTTCAGTTGTTTGTATATTCACATTGTTTGCTGATTTTTGGATCAATCCTTTTTTAAAAATTTGAATACGTGAGTCTAGTTTAATATAAGACTTTTCCATTAAAAAAAATATATAATCTGAGTTGTGAGGCTCTCCTTTTGTATGGTCTCTAGATCAGCAATATTTCTCTAATCTGGTTATGAAAATCCTCATTTGAAATAGTTAATTTATGCTTTTCACAATTGTAACACCCTTTAACTTTTTCCTACCAATTCCTCCAATTAATGGCTTAAGTTGTAATGAATATATTTGATTAGTAACAGGCTTTTTTTGTAGCGAAGTTATCTAGTTAATGCGGACATTGATTACTGAAGGTTTTCTGCTTTTGACCATTAACTTTTTTTACCGTTGTGAGCTGTTCTATTTTGTCAACTTCAGGAGTGTTAGGGGAAGATTAAGTAACCCTAAATTTCCGTCTTATGTCATCGTAGTATCCAAAGTGCATTTTAACCGAGCGGGCCCTAGGTATACATTTGCAATAAGGGGAAGCTTCATTTCTTAAAGTTTGTTTTGCTGCGAGTTTTATGTCAATATTGTATTCTGTGTTCCACTAATTAAATATTTATAAACCAGAAAGAGGAAAAAAGTTAACAACTTTGTTATAAAACATGGCTTAATACAATAGCTCTGAAAAAGAGTCCTTTCCTCACTTGTGAATATGATGGAGATGGTGTTGAACCCTATGTCTGCTGTGTGTTTTTGTTAGTGCTAAATGTGAACTTGCACATTATATGTTTTTATTTGCTCCCTAAGATTCAAAATTATATTTTCACACAAAGCACACTAAACAGTCCGTTTTTTCAATGTATGGAACTGTCCAGTGCTGTATTTGCCTCCCCTGTGAAGATCATTCTTGTCTTCTCAGGTGAATATGCAGAGGATTACATTTATGCTGCCCCAGGTCAGTATGCTGTACCCACCTTACCAGCTATACAGCTCTTGTAAAAGACATGGGGTGTTGATATTGCACTCTAGCGTCAACGCTGTTCTGTGTCTTGATATAGTATTTCTTTGTCGTTAATTACCTTTCTGATCCTCAAATTCATTCTGATCCTCAGCAGTTTTTTCATATCAAATCCTTTGTCCTTTCTCGTAGGGATCCTTTCCAAATCAGTGCTGATAATTTAAAATAGAATGCTAACACTGTGGTCATTTTAAAGCTGCCTTCATTATGACACCCATTTCCTACGACACTATATGCTTGCAGAAACCATGTATTAGTAAATGTAACTTTAAATGCATGTCAAGCGTGCGTCTAAAAACATTGGTACTGTAAATTTTTTGAGAATATACTGTATATCATGGAATCTTTTTTAAAAATGTGGAACCTTTCTTCTTAAATGGTTACTCTATCTTGGCATGTTCTTGGGTTGACGATTTCAATGTTTCTTTGTGATGTATAAGTTGACGTTGTATACTGATACATTGTACAAGTTTTAAGAAAATATAAATACAAGAAAGTGTCCAGATGAGAAGTATGGGTTCAGGTAGTAGCCTTTGAGTTATATCAACAAGACCTCAAACTGCGGATGCTGTGTTTTACATTTGGGATTTGAGTGGCAAGCACTTCTGGCCTCTTAGGCTTATGCTGAGAGGACGTGATGCTTTTTAGTAAAGAGAGGGATGGTGCTGCTCTTTTCTCTGTTCTCTCAAAAGTTTTAACTCTTCAAATTTAAATGTCCTACACATTTTCACTCTCTCTCCCTGTAGTGCCTCTTCCTTATTAAAGAGTACTTATTGGATTGCCTAGAATGCAACTGAAATTTGCTGGATTAATAAATCAAACATGCAAGCTCTTTAAACCCTTTCTCATTTAGAACCTGGATACCAGAGTCCTTCAGTGTATGCAGCTGCAGAATCCACCAATAACTTAGTAAGTTCTGCAACTGATTCACATTGTAAAATGCTCTTGGAACTTAAAAGCCATAAATGCTGAGATCTATACACTAGATTCTGTACCATTAGTCCTGCACTATTGTATTTGCCAAACCATCAAAATTACTTTACATAGTTTTCAAAATAAGTTTTATACAATTTTAGTAAACATCAAGATTTCTAAAATTATAGTTGGTTTTTGAATGGTTTCTGCTAAACTAAAAGTTTAGTGACCAAGTTCTAAGAATATTTTTGCCTCTGTGCTCAGTGCGGCAGCTTTTTTTTCTCCTTAGCCAGAGCAATGTGGTTAAATTGTTGAACACCACGTGTTTAGGGTGCTAATCTGAGTAGCCCATAATGGCCACTTGTTTGGCAACACTACACATTTGAGTTTTCATTTCCCATAATGTTTTGCCACACTAGGATGCCCTTAATGGTGAACGTGTCCTGTTGCAATCCCTTCAAGAAGGAGGATCACATGCAGGTTCACCACCAGAGGGCGTTGCAACTTATACTTACTCTCCACAGGTACTGTTTCTGCTCTTGTGTAACAGAACAGTGGCTGTCTTTAAACATGAGCACTATACTCACATTTCTTTCTTTGAGTTTTGGTCTTTTTTGCATCAGAAAAGCAGCACAGAGGACTGTCTTGTGGGTTTACATACCTTTTTTTGTCTAAATGGGACTTCATTGGCAGAGTGTGAATATTTATTATATTTGTGTTTTTAATATGCCTTTTGGCAGCCAGGAATACTGTGACTGCTCCTGCACTGACAATGTATGACTGTACCGAGTTGATGAATATAAACAGTGTACTTAAGTAAATTGAGTGATCTCTGACCCACACTGTCAGCTCCACCCCCCCCAAAAAGCATGCCTTGTCCTAATAAATCCCTAATCTCATTTGACCTTGTTGATGCTATTTGGAACATTAGCTGCATTCATTTGTTTCTAGCTCATCTACAGTATGGTTTTCAGTTATAGAAACATGTCTGTGTGAAGGAAATTGCCAGAGGAGGATTTAGTTTTTTTTTTGGAGGGGTTGATGTATGGGATCTGATCAGAAACACCTGCAAGACCAATCCTCAAACTATGGGAAGTCTAGAGACCCTTCTTTATTAGGAAATTGGACCACATTAACTCCATTGATACAGCCGTGGTCCTCAACAGTTTACATTTCATTTCTCAATGTTACGGAGGCTGGTTAAGCACTCCCAGTTTTGACTCCTGTTTAGTAGGAACTCTCGGTATATGACACATTTCTCTTATTGCCCGCAGGTGGTTGTGAGCTCTGCTGTGATGTCCTCTCCTGGAGTCACTCCTGCTCCTGCAGTTTTCACAACTAACTCCACGGGGAGCTTACAGAGCACGGTGTCCTCTGCCCCTTCCTCTCAGTCTATCATCCAGCCAATGGTTGTACCCCAGCACTCTGCGGGAAGACCAGGTACTTAGACCTAGCTAAAAAAAAATCCATTATCCAAAACTTTTATACAGCATAGCCTTGCAGTGCAGAAGTAGAAAACAGACCAGCTATAAAACCAAAATAAGTTCTAGTTTCATGACTTAAGTCTGCTTTGAATTTGTTGAAATATTGTTTTGGGTACTGTAACTTTTTTTAAATATTCAAAACCCTTTGGTTTTTTAACATTGAGAATGTGTTTTCATTGATTGTCAATTATAAAACGGGGACAATGACGCATCTGTCAAACTTCTACGTACTGTGTAGACAAGCTATACAAATTGTAATGTAAACGATTTTCTTAAATTCTGAAAGTTTATAAACCTATAGTTGGGTTGATGGTTTGGTTGTTAGAAATGGTTATTGCATCACCTTACAGGCCACACGCAACCATCCAGCAACTTTATCTTGGTTTATTTTTTAATCCAGACTGAATATCCCCATTTACAATCTAATCTCTGGTGAGCAAATTCTAAGGAATTTACAGAGACAATTCAATAAGTCTTGCAAGAATTATCAGTTCATTGTAGTACTACATGCAAGGGGACTGTACATTGTTTTTTTTTTAAATTTTTTGGACTTCTTACACAGAATAGGACCCTTTTAGATATAAAGTGTAAGGTGTATTGTCCCTTTGAGGTAGTATTATAAAAGAGCAGAAATGCTGTACACTGAAGCTTTTTTTCATATGGTATTCCCAAGAGGGCTGAGCCTAGTGCAGTTAGGAAAGATGCAGGTTTGGCACCTTGCTAGTCAGATGTTGCATATGGCTATGCTGGCCTCATCTTTTTCTCCTGCAGTTGTGCTGTCCGCCCTCTCGCTGCCCTACCCTCCCAGTGCCCTTGTGTTTGTGAACGAGGCCGGGGAGCCAGTGAGCGCCCCCCCACCTCCACCTTATTCCTGCGACCCTAATGGGAATGACCTCCCCAGAGGCAAGATGGCTTCAAGCTAATGTCTGCACCGTTTTTGATAGTCTGTATTGAAAGAGCTGTGGTAGCACTTAAGTTGCAGTTTCTAAATGCTTTATATATTAAATAGTACTATTGAAGTTATAGGCATTACTCATTAATATGATTATGTATTAATATAGGTTAAACTCCTAAGTTCACTATTTTCATAAAATCTCCATATTAACATGTAGTTACAACAACCATCTATAATGCTTTATTTGTAATTCCTGTTTTCACTATACCGATAAAGATGAAGGAAGAAAATGGTCATAACCCCTTTTGAAATGTTCATGTTAAGACAAAATTATTAACTTCAGGGTATAAATATTTTATACTTTGTTTAGATTACAAGGTTCTCCAGTATTACTTCAACCTAGGAGTGCAGGTAAGTTGAATTCTAGTGACTTCATTATATATTGATGTAGCTACTTCATTTAAGAAACTTCCTGAACTGTAAATATGTAGTACAAATATTGACTTAAATGGTATAACATGTATAGGAAGTAATGGAATAAGAAGTAGAGTTTATAGAAAATCCAGGATGTGGTCAGTGTAGTCTGTACAGTTAGCTGTTGGTAGTCTACCAGAAGGCAGAACTCAACAATCCTCGACTTATGAACATCAGTAGCCCCATAAGCCCCATTCACAACTCAAGTCATTCTCCATCTCATCTGTTGAGTTTCAGATTTCATTTCTAAAGTTTGCATTTTTAACTCTTTTCTTATTCATTTTAGGGCTATGAATATTCATAATTAAAATGCAAAAGTAAATATTCATGTAAAACAAAGCCACATGGAGTGAGTAAGTCACTACCCCCCCCCCCCCCCCCAAATACTGATGAGAGAGCCTCCTTCTGTTGTTCATGTATTTTGTGTGTTCACTCTTCCACCATGTGAAATCATAATTCTTCTGAGAACCGATTTATATGCTGTTTGTGTGGACAGGATGTTCATATCTCGAGGACTGAGTGTATGCATCCTGGGCTAGGGTGGCGAGGTTGCTCTAGTTTGATCTCGTAGGATTCATGATTCTTGAATTGCATCCTTCTGACAGCAAATGATGATGTACATAAGGAAATCAAATCATGTTCAAGTAGGTAGGCTGCAAAGGAACAGGTAAAGATTTATTCCACCCTGAAAAGAAAGAAGCAAGGTTTTGGATGTGGATCCTTTTTTGGGTAAAGGTTCTGAACTCTGTTCTTCAGGCTCCATGTTCTAAGTATTGCTTCTTTTTTGTTTTCAACATAGAATAAACCTGTTTCTAAAAGGCTTCAATGCTTGTCAGAAATGCTAATGTCTAGGGTTTTTCCTTGTGGGAATTTCTACTATACTGATGGGGGGAAAAAAGAAACAACATTTTCTGGAATGAGAATACTATAGTTATAGCTTATGTAGTTTCACAAAAAGTTATCACTTTGTTTTAAGCCCTCTGACCAGCAATACAGCTTGTGCAGTGAGGGATTGCAACTTTCCAATCACACAGAATCTTGTTAGGTGCACTTTTACCCAACAAAGTTCAGGTGGAACAATGCCTGATCAGGTCACCTTTAAAAAGGCCTTAATTAGAAGCTTAGGTCATTATAAGAAAAAGGCCACATTCAGTCAGGTTTCTGTGCCTTCCGTAATACCTCAAATGTCACCAGAAGCAAGGGAGAGGGCCATTGGCATGCTGCAGGCAGGCATGTCATGTGCCAGCGTTGCCAGACACTTATGTAGTAAGTCACTCCACTGTGTCCCGACTATAGAGAAGGTTTCAACAGACCAGCAGGACACGTGACTGTCCAAGATCGTCGGGTTGTCCTCCAGCAACCACTCCAGAGCAGGACCGATACATCTGACTGGTCCATCTGAGAGATCGTTTCAGATCTGCCACTCATACTGCTGCTGAACCTGCCGACAGACACAATGTCTGCATCAGTGACAGGACAGTGAGGCTCTATGCTGCTGGCCTTAGAGCAAGGCAACCTATCAGAGGCCCTCTGCTCACACCTTCTAGACGTCACACCTGACTGGCTTGGGCCAGACAGAGGCTGCAATGGACTTGTTAGCAGTGGCATCAGGTACTCTTCACGGATGAGCCTCTGTCCAGCCTGTTCCACACAGACGGGAGGGCCAGAGAGTGGAGGAGGAGATGTTGCGTTTCTTTTTTCCACCAGTTTATATTGCAGCTGTATAATTTGCTTTGTTGCACATCTCGCTGGGACAAGGCTACTGTATTGTTTATAAGGGATGTTTAACATGGGCTTCCCAATACTGATGTAAGTCTGTCTGTGATACCTATCAGTGGTACCACCAGAACTGCTGGAATGCCACAGTCCAGATGCAGCAGCTATACCAGCAGCCTGTTGCTGAGCAGTACCAGTCCTACTCTGGGTCGGCTCCCCGGGCAGAACAGAACCTGCCACATCAGCCATATGGAGAAGGGGTGCAAGTAGCAGACCAACGAGGGGACACTACCAGTGGTGAGATGTTTCTTACCTTTAGTTAAATGGTTCAGATTGCAGCAGAAATATCTCTGATAGGAGATTGGCTTCAAGCTGTTACTTCAAAAAGGTTCATTCCTCTTATTTTTTTTTTCTTTCCCCAAAGGAGCCATACTAAATGTGGAGCCCTCTCTGTCTGCACAAGGAGCTGTCTATTATCCCATAATGCCTGATCAATGTAGCCAGCAGCCTCTCCCGATGTACGATCCTTATGTCCCGGTGCTGCCAGCTTATCGCTATGTGACGCCCTGGCCACCCCTCAACCAGCCCAGAGTCCTTGGTCCTCTATACCCCAACTCTACTCACCAAGTCGGTTACATGGCTTCATCTGCTCTGCCTCCACATTTTGTCCCACAAGGCATGTGACTGTTTTCCCAGGGGATGTGAGACTGGCTTGTCAATCTTCAGTGCCTTGTGCTGGCGAAAAGCTCTTCAACTATCCTTCCCCACCTCTTCCCTACAATGACTTGAGTTTTGCTGCTCTTTTTGAAAAGTGGGTTTGCTGTCGGTTGTAGTTTTTTGTTTTAAGAACATTTTCAGAAAGGGCTTTCATAGTAAGAGAACTCTGTGCCATTAGAACTGGAGTTTACCACAGTAAATGATCAAGTTCCAGTTTCAGCAACCCAGAGCACACTCCTTCTAAAAGAGCCAGAAGTGTCATTTTAGATATTCTCAGTGCGAGCTCTTGTTGCTTCTCCACTGCATTTTCAGCTTTATCCCCCAAAGAGATGTTCGCAAAATGAGAGAGAAGAAAGTACCAGCATTTTCCAAAAAGCAGTTATTCCCCATTCCATAATTTTCCTGAAATCATACTGTACAGCAGAGTATTAGGACAAGAAATCTGTTTGGGCAATTGCTAAATGTTGCTTTAAAAGAAGGAGGAAAATTGTTAAATTTCAAAATGGCACTTGAACCCTTTTACTCTATAGTATTGTATATAATGTTTCTTATAAATGTTTGAAGTATGTCTATCACCTTTTCAATACCATCACCTTTTTACATGTTCACTTTGAAGTTTTGCTTTTAACCATGATGAACACATGAACATTATTCATCAGTATTGAAGCACTGAATTCACATTGACTTGATGAAACCAAGACCACGAAACATTTTGCCTTCTATCTGTTCAAGCTCAGTATTTATCTAGGTGAAGTCTGTGTTCATTGTAACATACCTCCATTGGTCAATTGCAAAACCTCTTTTTTTGGGTTAGTGTTGTACGTAGTGTTGAGCTGCTTTTAAAGCTGATTTTGTTTTGGAAGTAGGGAAATCAAAGGCAAAACACCACCATGAAAACTTTTAAGAGTATTTAAACTGTTTTCATGGTAAGTAAAACAGATTAAACGTAAGCTTTCTTCTTTCTATGAAGAATCTGTAAACTGGCATGGATCACATCTTCCTGTGTGTCAGGGGAATAAGTATTTTTTAAGATTTTTAAAAGTATGTAATCCCTTGGTTTCTTACAGTCCTATATAAAAGGACTTTTTATTTCTGCCCTATACTATTGACAATGTTAATTGTAAACTAGCTATTAATTATTAGCTCATAGTCCTTTCTCAATCCAGAACACTGCAGAAGAGCCTCCCCTTTGCAACAGCATGAGAATGATTATTTGCATTCAGAACCATACAACCTGTTGGATTTAATAGAAAGGGTTTTGCAATTAATGTGTTCATTATATTAGAAATGTTAGAAACCCTCACAATTGAATTGATAGTTTGTTAGACGTTCCATCACTATAGGTAACCCCATCTAATTTTTTTGGTAAGGCCAATTTTCTGGTGCCCCCTAGAACAGCTTCAAATGCCAGTTCCTCAGTCAGCCCACTAGGTGTGTTGGAAACATGTTCTAAATGTCTTGTAGTGTTCTTGCAATACTGACCATTTCCATTTATGTATAAGCTTCTTCAGGGAAAGGTGACTGATATTTTTCCTTAAAAAGCAGCAAATAATGGCATTTCTCATTTTCCATTGGCATCTTAGATGGGTGGAGGGTGTTCATAATTGTTAAAGACTGACCTCCTGCAGGATTTGGAGGTTTCCTTTAAATCTCCAACAGTTCAGCACTTAAAAATGCTGTTGAATTTGGCAGAGACTTTTAGTTGAATTGGCTAGTATTATATCCAGATGGCTAGCCTTTTAGAACCATAATTACTCACCATACCAGGCCTCAAATAGGAGTTGGACAGTATAGGACAGTGATATCGAGGGTGCTTGTAAAGTTAGCTGGCCTATTAAAACTATTGTGAAAATGGAGCAGTGAACATTGGATCATTAAGACCCCTTTCATATAGACTGTGCACAGCTAACAGAAGTAACATCACTGGCAATCGGAAGGTGTGCAGAGCATTCAGATATTGAAAATCGGTAAGCCGTAGGTGGTAAATAATCTCGTGTGTACCATCGTTATGCAGATAACTCTGTTCCCGATGCTCTTCATGCCTGATGAATTTCATTGCTCCTCAGGTGAAAGGTTTGTTCCTATTGTTTAAAGTCAGGTAGCTTGCTAAGCACCTGTATATACAGTATTACAATATACCTAGTCCTGATCGACCTGCAGTTTTTTTACTCAACATTGCCTGCAGTAGAACAGATTCGCCTTCCTTTTTTGATGTAAAATTTGCTTCTTTCATTTTTTAGAAGATATTATTTTAAAGGAAATTTTACAGATTCACATACTCCACCCCCCACAAGCCAAAAAAGCTTTAAACCAGTTTTGCTGCCACTGTTAAAAGCTCCCTACTGTTCTTTCTTGTGAATTTAATTTGTATAAAAAGATGTAAAGTTGCACCATTTATCACAGTTCACATTTGGTTAAAGGTTTGGCATTTGGGAAATTAAAGACATTGAATTAAAACAAGCAGAGTACTGATTTTTTTTTTGTCTAAATGTCTTTGCTTGCATTGATGTTGTGCTGTTTATCCTAAAATACTACAAATGCAGAAGTTGTCTACCTTTAGACACCACTGAAAAGTAGAAACCATCTGTGTACTGCCATGAAACAGCACTGCTAAGCAGCAGTTAAGGTGGAGAAATATGAAATTGCATCCCTAAATTAAGACCGATGAGACTGGAATATAACCTAGGGTTAATGCTATTATTCTCATGAGCTACATCATGAATTCTTTAAAGGCCAAGTAGCGAGGATTTTGGCTTAATATCTTATTGGAAGGTTGGCACCTCATACAGTACAAGGTCTCCCATTACCATACTGAGATGCTCATTTAGAAACATAGAGAAAACGATATCCTCCTGGTTTAGTGGCATCAATTTGCAGCAGCAAGGGGTATTTCTCTGAGGTATCCTGAACTAACCCATCCTCTAGCTGACCAGAGGTCGAAAGCTAGAATTTATTTTTCCATTTTAATTGAGGAAGTACCATAGAACTTATTAAATCTGTATTTGAATGGATTCTCTTGCAAGGCATTTGATAAATTGAGTGTGAAAATATCTTCATAATCCTGCTTGCATTTGTTTTGAGCTGAAGGGCAAGATTGATATTGCTCAAAAAAGCTTTTGGGTAAGCAGAGTGGGGACGTGTGTTGTCCAGTTAGAATGCTATCATGTCGGGAATTGAGATAGCAGGATTTGAGTATATCTGCATAGATAAGTGTTGACCTATGCAGTTGAATTGCCAATAAATCACTTAACGCACATTCTATCAATACAAGTTGTACCGTCAATCAGTTGAAGTGGTATTCTGCAGTAATTTTAATACCGCTGTCAAGATGCTCACCATCACTGGTTAGTCCGTTGTACAGAGTACAGTATTTTGTTCTGAATGTCTACACCACAAAAGCAGATTTCCATCAGCACAATGTTAATTCTTCGTTTAGAAAGGATAAAGTGAGCCTTATTGGTTCCATTCCATGTAGTTATTTTATTTTTGTTAGGTTAGATGTTCAGTTTAAATGGTCTTGCCTCTGCCCAGTCAGCTGGTAGTGATGAGGTGATCCAATTCTAATGTTACTGGAATGTATCTGTTTGGTCATGATTGAATATGCATGATTTATTTTCATGATAAATATGTTTAGTCAAAATCTACTGTATGTTTCTAAAAACCTGGTCATATTTCTTTTGACGCTCCATACAATTTAGATTTCTCTTTTGATAGAAAAGTTGCAAAAATAACTTCAATCTTCCAAGGTGTACTTTAAAGCTTAATATGCTTCTACAAATGTGTCCGTGTATCTTACATTTTAACACTTAATATAATATTTCAAAGATTTTCTATGTGGCTCTTTACACTGCTCTAAATGGGAATGTTGTCTAAATTGTTCTCAAAAGAAAATTTTGAAAGTGGTTATACTTTTCAAACTCTTGAATTTGGCATTGAATGCACTTCCGCATTAACAGATACAGCTGCAATTGGACTTCCCAACTCTTAACCTGTTGAAAATACAATTTTAAAATTGTTGATACATTTTTTGGTGAGGTAAGGTTGCTTACTCTTTTAGGACTAATATTTTGATGCTCGTAAGAATTTACTCTCGAATCAGGTGAAGTTTGCACTAATCTAATCCTTTAAAACAAAATCTGAACAATAACCCTAATGTACCCAAACCCTAAGCTAGGGTTAGGTTTCCTAGAAAACAAAATGTTAGATGGCATGGTTGTGTTTAAGGACAAAAATTAAATTCAGGAAAAGTGATATTTCAATGTTATCCTCACATATTTTCTTGGATATACTGTATGGCTACATACACTGAAGGTTGCATTAATAATTTGAACCCTAACCCTAACTCACAACAAACCCTTAGCTAGGGTTAGGGTTAGGATTTCTAGAAAAGATGGAGAATGTTTGATGACCTGGTTGTGTTTTAAGGCAGGATTGAAGTTCAGGAAAAGCGATATTGCAACGTTATCTTAACATTTTTTTTCTTGTTTGTATGGCTCCATACACTGCATTGCCTTAAGTGGTAATATTGCCTCAATTGCCCAAATACAATACACTGAAAGAAAGTGGTTATACTTTCCAGAGTCTTGCATTTGACTTTGAATGCATGTCCGCATTAACAGATACAGCCACAATTTATTGGTAATTCCCAAGATTTAACCATTTGAACCCTGAAACCATGCCCATTGAGAACACCATTCAATATGAAATTTGCAATAACAAAATCCTTGTCAAGTAATACAATTTTACCATTGTAGATACATTGCCAGTGGTGTGACAAGGTTGCTTAATCTTTTAGGACAAATGTTTTGATGCTCGTATGTATCTTTTCCTCTAAAATGAGTTGAAACTTGCATTAACTTTAATCCTATTGAACTTGCATTGCATTAATCCTATTGAAGAAAATCTGAACCCTAACCCTACCTTACCCAAACCCTTAGCTAGGGTTAGGATTTCAAGAAAAGAGAGAATGTTTGATGACCAGATTGTGTTTTAAGGCAGAATTGAAGTTCAGGTAAAGTGATATTGCAATGTTATCTTAACATAACCACTTTCTTTCAGTCTTTTACATTCAGGCAATTTAGGCAACATTACCACTTAAGGCAATGCAGTGTATGTTTAGCCAGGTCATCAAACATTCTCTATCTTTCCTAGGAATCCAAACCATTTCCCCTTGCTTAGTCTTTTCGGAATAATGTTTTGATGTACTGTATGTAGGTAAATTGTTCACTCAAATGAGGTGAAGGTTGCAAGGAAAGCTGGTAAGTGGTGTTAGTGTAATGTAAGCACTATTGAGATAAATTAACCCCCCCCCCCCAAAAAAAAATAATCTGATTTGATTAATTCTCATTCCAAATCTTTATATTTTATGTTCAATCCAACTTGCGCATTCTTTTTTCTGTGATTTTTCTGGAGACAGTTTTTTTTTCTCAGTTTTTTTTATGAAAACCTTCTAAACACTTTGGCAAGGCATAATACATAATATGTATCATAATATATTTATCATAGATATATAGAGACAGTTTTGACTGTCATTTTCTTGATCTGCTTTTTACTTCATGTTTATACTTAAAACCATTATTTGCAGTATTATTTGCAGCACGCTCTGTCCACAATGGCATTGTTACCTGAATAAACTTAAAATAGCATTTGGTTATTCCCAAGACAAGTAAATATTATTTCCAGTCAGAAGTTCTAGCCTGAAGGCTTTATTTGTTGCAAAGAAAATTTGTTGAGTCAGGACTTGTGAAAAGCTTTCTGGTTTGATTAAGTAAGTTCAGCTGTTTAGAATTGGCTCCCCAAATCAACAAAATCCTTTTTATCATATGACTGGGAGAAAACAACCTATGCCTATAATACTCGCCATTGAATTAACATCTAATTCATTCTATAGAATGTAATTAAAATTTTGGACTTTTTATTGGTTAGAGAAAGATGCACCATCAATTTTCCAAAGATATCAGCATGATCTGAGTTTACCTCTGCTAATCAGAAATCCAACAAGGAAAACCTTGTAATAACTAATATTATCAAAACAGCAGCTGAAGGCCCAAAGGCACAGAGCCAATTCAACAACAACAAAATCCATCATGAAAGTCATTATCATGTCTCAAGATGGGGACCTTCCAAGGGAAGTTTGAAGATCTCTTGAAGGCTAATGCAAGGTGCTGAAGACAAATTCAATCCATGTCTTTGCACTTCTGGAAACGTACAATCCAGTTTGTCCAGAGTGAACAGCAGGCCTGCATCCATAAATTAGATGGTTATTAGCTTGCCACTAGCATTCACAGCGCAAAATACACCCTGTTTAGCCTGGGAGTCTATGTGAGGCATGAGATATCAAAATATACAAGCTGAGATTGAAAACCAATGCACCGGCACAGCATCCATCTTACTTGATAAATTGACATCTAAGTAACATTTAACATCTGCAAACTACATGAAAAAAGCCCCATCCACCTATAGGGACTTCAGACTACCAATACAGACCTACAGGTATACCACAGGCACCAGCTGTCCTAAAGCATATTACAAAACAAAAGAGGTTTTTGTTTAAAATTTCAGAGAAATACGCATTGCATGAAATAATAATCTTAGAACCTTTTATTGTGGGACACAGGCATGATTTTTAATCCACAGGGCATTCTTTGATGTCTTCATATTGCAGAATATATTTTTAAAGTTTTAACACTTGAAATATATCCAGAAGATAATTTAATTCAAAATAGAATTTTGAAAGCAAAACCAGCCTACATGAATTTTGCTGGAATTTGAAATAGACTTCTTGCTTTGACTGTATTGTATAAAGTACATCACTTTTTCTATATCTTTTGATAAAGGGCTACAAAATTAAGTTTATATTTTCATTTTAGACGACAAGTGTCAGTGTCTTACAACTTGCTTGATGCATTCCCTTTTATTATAGAATCTGAATTTCAGTTTTTTGGTTTCTGAGCAACAATCTAGATCGTCAGCCAGCAGAAAGAGGAGTCTTTCCAGATGGTTTTCACATAGTTTACCATCCAAAATTTATTTTTAAAAATATAGACTCATCAGCAGATTTAACAAGCATTCTGTCAACTTTGAAAATATTGTACATACAGTATTATGTAATGAATTTGAGAACGAATTTAAATTTCCTTCTAAAATCTGGTTAGAAAAAGGAACTTTCCTTTAAACAGAGCAAAAAGAATCTTTAATCCCTCCTGTGCATTCATATAAAATGGAAAATAATCTTAAAGGGTTTCCGCCAGGTGCTCCGATTTCCTCCCACAGTCCGAAGGCATACTGGGAAGTTAATTGGATAAATCAGTCAGAAAATGGATGGATAGTAATAGCTTGAAATGGGCAACATGGACATTTTCAACAAAGCCTACATAAAAAGAAATGTATTATTGAGAATAATATAATATATTTGTTTAAAAAAAAGCCAATTTATCTTGGGATGTTGATTGCACCTTAAGACATTGGACTGCAAATAGCTGGATTATTGGTAGTGGTTTTAAGCAATACGGGGAAGATGTGAATTGAGTTTTTGTGATCTCCTTTGTGCAATATAGTATGTATCTGCACATCAGTTTTGTCCCGTTTAGATTTTGAAGACATCCTCCAGTTTCTAGCAAATACGTTTGTATTTGAAGGTCAGAAATGAAGATATTTCAGAGAGTGGTGAAAAGAGGAGTCTGTTTGTCCTCTTCTTAATAGGAATAAAGCAAATGTTTTTTTTTTATTAAAACAGAACACATGATATCGTACTTTTCATTTGATTTTGTACTTTAACAAAATAATTAAAGAATATTAATAATGAAAGTCACAAAATGAGACAAGCCACCTGGTCCATCGGGCATTTTAGTGGTCCTGTAAAAAAGTTGACCCTTCCTCACCTTAAATTAAACGAATAAAACAAAGTTTATTTATTCATCTCTTTCCAATTTATTTCAAAATTGGATTTACTGAGAGTAATAAAATAATGTGTGCTGACATCCAAGAGTTCTTTCAGAAGGTTTTATTAGCAAGAAATGCTTTATATAGCATGTGAGTTAAAAATGATTCTGCACCAATAGTTTTTATATGCATTTTATATAAACCTCTAAAAATACAATACCTCATCTGTCTTATCAGCAGAGGTTCCCTCTATTGTTCATTTAGTATTAAAATAGTCAAAACAGGGCAGAAATGGTCTGGCACAGATAACTGTTACATGGCATGCCCCGATGAGAAATAGCTTTTCACCAGTAAAACGCATTGTTAGCAGCAACTCAAAAAATAATTTCAAAGGAATTTTAACACCATGATTTTTTTAATTTCTTGTTGGGAACACAGACTTAAAACAAAATGCTGTTGTACAGTACCTTCGTAGTCAGGGGAAGAGACTTTTTCAGCAGTAAACCCTATCGGAGTTTACCTGAGCTGTGCCTAGTTTTGTTAAAAATTCAGCAGTAGGTAAAAGAAGAAAAAGACTGTACATGGGTAGCTAAATTGTTAATAAGTACTACTATTGCAATAAACTAAGCTCCTGTTTTTAAAATTTATTTTTCTACACTAATAACTTGCAGTCGTGGGCGCCCTGTTTAAATAAATGTTCTAGGCTGGCCCCTAGCTTGGATTACAGTGCAAGCAGAGATTTTGACCAAATATTAGAAATATATATCTTTTCTTTTTTTCTTTATAGCTGAGTGGAAACGATGTCCTCCTGCCCCTGTCTCCACTTTCTGATCAGCCCATCGCAGCCCCCTTCCCAGCTGTCGAACACATCCTCTGTGGAGTCTATGAGTCTGGAGTTGGAAGCTGTTATGTTGGAAGCACAGTGAAGGGACTTGCTGCCTACAGGAGGCACGAGACTGTCTTTACCATTGACCTGGGCCGGCTGGGTGAGGCCCACCTCGTTGAGGTGGATTTCACTGCGGGTCACCTCCCGGTCGTTGGCGAGAGAGTGCTTGAAGTCCTGCCACATATACTGGGGCTGGAGGAGTCCATCGGAGATGGTGTACATGGGCTCCGAGTTCGGCTCTGAGAGGTGCCCATTCATCTTTGAGAACAGCAGGCCCAGCCTTTTGAACGAGTCTTTCTTGGAGCTGGAGAGGCGCTGCAGCCGGTTGCCGTTCTTGATGAAGGACCGCCTCAGGCCGTTGCTCTTTGGTTTGTCCTCGGCCACGTCCGCCCCTGACATGGACTTGAAGAGGGCCGAGACACTGAAGGCGTCTTTCTTCTTCTCGGCCAGGCTGAAGGAGACACTCTTGGAGCTCTTGTCCCGGCCTCCGTCCTCGTCCTCATTTGCCTCGTCCTTCAGTGTGGCCTCACTGCTGGACGAGTAGGTCCTCCTCGGGGGTTTCCTATTACCTAGGAGGTCCAAGACCTCATAGCGGAAACTGGAGATGTCCTGCTTCAGCTCCTGGAAGAGCGTGGACAAATAAAACAGCAGTGGCTTGAAAACATGGACTTTCTGATGGTGAGTAGACCTCTTAAAATATAGTACAGGGGTTTCAAGACCAGGCCCTGGAAAGCTGCACTGTCTTTTACTTTTCTATTCTACTGTAGCAACATTCTCAGTTATTTACCTAAAGCTGTTGTTGGATCATTTGGTCAAGACTTATTTATTTATTGAGTCATGGATGGGAAACAAAGCAATAAGGGACTACGGCTCTCCAGGAACATGGATGGAGACCATCAAATTAGTATAATTTAGCAGATTTACATTCCAATTCAACTCTTAAAAACCTAAATCAGCCCATTCTGGGCTTAGTGGGACCAATTTAATAAGCTCTCAGCTCTTAAAGTGCATGCAGACACATTAGCCAACCAGTACTCGGACTTCCTACTGTTGGTACTGTATAGAAAGATTTATTTTGTTGAGTACAATCTTTTATTTTTGCTTTTACTCTGTCATAGGAAAATGGTAAGGTATTGTACTAAATAGCATTTTCCACTGGCATCTTTCATTGCAGTTTTATCAACCTCTGTTGTGGAATGAAGCTTTAGGAAAGAAAGAACATCTCTTATTTTCCATAACCTTATTATAACAAAAACAGCTTAATGCCTTCTCCGCAGTATTTAACTAAACTTCATGTACAAGATCATTTGGGAAAACAATAAATGCACTAAGTATTTTAGATTGAGCACTAACATCAAATCGAACTTGGCCAAATGCTGAGGGGGTTATATACCTGTAACAGTAGTTAGCAATGCATCAAAATCTTTGTAAAAATAGATGTTAAGAAAGAAGAGAAATCATCAGGGTTTGTTTGTAGGTGGAGAGAAAAAAAAGTTTCATTTTTAATGAAAACCTCCAGGAATTCATGCAATATAATACAATACAAATGCTTCCCAGATCTACGTTTACAAACTGATATTCTTTTTTTATTGCAAGAGAAACTAGAAATGCCTTGCCTGAAGAACATATTTAAGGTACAGTGTGCATTCAAAACAATTAAAGGGTCACTTGAGTAGAAAGTAAGATAATAGCCCCATGGGGAACAGTGTTCCAGAATAGCTAAAGTCAGCCTAGGCAAGTGTTCATCCATCTGTATACATTCTACAAACATGTTTTGTGCAGGCTAATTAAGGGATATGTTACATTTGAATAAGGCAGTAGCATAACACTAGCTATAATTCTACATAAGATTATTGAATACCAATACAGCAAGCACAAAACAACGTTTTAAGCTGACTGTAATTTGTATGACCCCTCTCTCCCCAAAAATTCCTTCATTTCAATCACAGTGTAAAATGCGTAATTAGAAAGTTAAACTTCACCAAGGAATGCACTTAGAATTCTTCACCCTACAGCCACCTGATCATCAGTTCTTTATGTAGTTTACTTATCTATTACTTGTTATCTTTAAAGGCAAAATATTTGAGCACAGAGTTTGTGCCTTTTTCCTATCAAAGGAACTTAATATCATTACACAGGTGGGCCACAATATTAGGAACCTCTAACAACTACCATATTGAGTATCTGTGAGTAGAGTGAACACTTGACACAGGCAATCTCATCCCATTCTGCTACCAGAATTGCCATTGGCTAAGGTTAACATTAAAGCAACAGTGTGCGGGATTGAACTGCATTTTCATTGGTTTCAAACTGTTTTCAGCAGGTTTGAAATCTGGCTAAACTGCTGGTTGCAGTACTGTAGGTGACCTACCCAAAATCTTTCTCATGTTCCTCAGGTCTTCCACAAAATGTGTGACCTGTAATATATTTGCCAGTGACTGTATAAGCCTGAAACAACAGAAGTACTTTCGGTTATGTCTTCTGTAGGCATAGAAATTAGGGGCCCCTCCAGAACAGCTGAGCCCACTAACTCAATGGCCGAGCGGTCACTGGTTTCACTGGAACAGAGATGTACATAATGAACCAACCTTGAAGTTCTCCTCTGTTAGGCCTTCGTCTGTTTTTGCACTCCGAATCATAGCCGCCACATATCTTTTCACTAGGTTTCTTATGACTTCCTGAAATTCAGACAAATGTTGTCATTAAAGGGACATTGTAACAGGGCACAGTAAAACAAGAACACTTTTTCTCCAAAAAAGCACTGATGAGACCATCTGCAGCAAATGTTTAAACCCCTTTATTTTTAAATCAGAACCGGAACCTGTTGAAAAAAGAAACAAGATGCTATACATCAGAACCTTGCATAGATGATGTCACAGTTCCCTTTAATAATAGGAAATGTTGTTAGTGTGCTGATATGAATGATATTAATTATGGATGCCCAGGCGCATTTATTCATGTGTGTAGAGTTAGTTAAAGGTTTGGGGCTGGGCTTTGAAAGTTTCAGTATCATTATATTTAGTGTATGAGGTACACCTTATCAGGTGCCAGTAGTTAACAATACTGTATGTCTTTAATGACAGGTGGAATAGTTTACCATTCCCATTTACCATGTTTTGTATCTGAAATGAAAACATTTTTTTATTCACTACATGCTCAATTGGATAATTTTCCAACTCTTGATTTGCTAATGTCAGCAACATAATTCATTTTTCTCTCTTTTTCAACTGCTCTTGAGCTTAACATAGGTGATAACAGCTCTGTATCACTGATTAACCATGGGCATAGAGAAATGATTATTGAAATAAACACCTCTTGTTTTTTAAAAGAATTAAGTTCCATTATTAAATATTTAAATATTCAGAAATGCATTCATGTTTGTATTATATTACCGGTATGGATATTGTCCCATTTCAGCTCCACCAGAAATGCACAGAAGTACCAAGAAGCTAGTAGAAGTAGCTCTTATCCCAATCAGTGCTTCGCAACTTGTCAGATCCGTACAGCGTTCTGAAAGTGCTTCAAGATTATTCCCTTATCGCGTTTATTCCGAAAAGAGAGCAGCTGTATCTTTTGATAAAGCTAATTTATTATGTATTTCTCTCTGTGCCAGACATGAATGCTTTCTGCTGGTGAAGCCTTCCAGTTTTTTAGCCTTGGGGGAATGGAATTATAGCCATTTCGGAGTTTTGGGAAAACAGTCCCTCCAGCTATGTAGACTTCATTGAGCTCATAAAATATTCAAAGCAAGGCGGTGCAAACCCTGCTAAAAATTAAATTGATAAACAAATGAGCATATGTTAAAAATTAGCCTCGTGTATCTTTTGACAACTCCTAGTAAATCATATTATGGAAAGTACCAGAGACCGTAAACAAGCAAAACCTCTGCACTGGACTTTCCAGTCAAAATATTCTTGTTCTGTGTTTGGGACTAATGTATTTTACAGTATTACAGGTGAATTCTTTAGAACAAGTTTGAAAGTATAAAATTGTGAGACAGACCTGATGAAATATATATCTTTAATATGTCAGTTGTGAATGGCAAATCATGTGAAACACAAAGAATTTAGGATGATCAGTCTAGGTCAAATTCATTTTAATTAAAATGACACTAATACTTTTTGTTGAGTTGAGTTTTTATTTTTTCAATTATGATGTATATTGTATCAATTATGAAATTATGGATAGTTTTAGCCATCCATCCATTTTTTAACTGCTTCAGGGTCATGGGAGAGCTGGAGCCTATCCTATCAAGCAATGGGTACAAGGCAGAAAAAACCCTGCTTAGGTCACCAGTTCATCACAGGTATTTTTATTTCATAATGTAGTCAATATGTTTTTTTATGGTTTGCTGGTTATCTGGCTATATACAGTAAAGGTAACAAACAGGAGAAAATTGTGAAACCTTGCACTGGTTGAGAAAAATAGATTTGCTGCCTATCAGTCTTATGTATATGCATCCTCAGGTTTTGGCAGTGTTAACACTATAGAATGTATTCTGCTTCATTTAAAGAGCATAATACAACTATTGCATTATACACTAAGACCTCATTCTTAATTATTGGTCACCACACCATTGAAAAGACATGAACTCAAAATAAGAAGTGAAGAAACCCTCCTCCACAATCCCAGGATAGGTGTGTTATCTTAAAACAGGCTAAAAGAATTAACAGAAAGCTGAAGAAAGAAGATTTCAAAATCTTCAAAAGACTGTCAGCCCAAACCATTGCTTGACAGAAAAAAAGAAACGTTTGGACCTGAGGATACAAAAACAAGCACTTTTATTGCATTAAAAACAGTACTCTAAGATGTGTTATATAATTCTGTTGTTGTTGCTGCCACTGTTCTGTGTTTATGGTGTTTCCTTAATGTCCTTGAATTGGAGCATACATGCAAATAAGCATTTCATTACACTTGTGCATATGACAGTAAACTGAACTGATTGAAACCCTGCAGACAAACTGGCCGTCCAAATATAGGATTGTACATCCCTGGTGAACACAGTTTCAAATTCTAACAGTCCCAGTTTAGTCCCTATGTTTTTAACTGATATTGTGATACATTTTCACAGGGATTTGCCTCACAAATAAATCTAGGATTTCGAAAGTGCACTTGGTCACAAGAGGTGCTTGTAATTTCCATACTTTTCATTGTATTTCTAAAATTAATTTTCCATATTTTCATTTTAAAGCATGCTGTTTTATCATTATTGTGTACAACAAGGGTGAATTTTGATGCGGCTTTTCTAATTATCCCTTTAATACACAAAATATAACAGATAATTGTAATCTAGGCTTATTTAAAATTGTAATTAGTCCATGCACTGTAGCTTCAAGTCTGGCATGAAAGGAGTGAAAGGCCTTCTGATATGAAAGACAATAGTAAGGCTTGGTTAAAAAAAAACTATAGATCAATAAATTAGGAGGAACCAAATGAGCAGGATGAGACATATGTCTCGTGCCTCTCTTATTTTTCAGTAATGCAACTATGTCCATGTCATGGACTGACCGTCCCCACTTGAATGAGGTCAGAAAATGCTCGTCAATTTGTCAGTCTCTGTGAGAGATTGCTGGTGACAGACATAAGAATGGCTTTCACCTACATACTTCACTGTGGGTGAAGAATGTTACTAAATACAATATTTTCTCTTTTAAAGGCAGTGCTTTGTAGGATTTAAGGCTCAAATACTGTACACACATGCATGAATTATATATATGTGTGTAACATGCTTGTGCATGCCTATCTCTTTGTTGGTTTGTATCTTTTAGTTTGTGTTCTGAAGAGCCTTTGACCCGTTTTCACATGATTAGGAAACTGAGGCAACAGTAATGACATTTACAGTACATACAGTATTTATTTTAGATGAACAATTAATCTAATGGAGTGGCAAGGTGGCACATTGGTTAGCATTGTGCCATGCAGTTCTGGATCCCTCTCTTCAATTCTGGATCTAAGGTGCTCTCTGCGTGGAGATTGTAAGTTCTCCCTTAGTTTGTGCATGGGTTTTCACTGGATCCTTTGGTTTTCTCCAACAATACAAAGGTACTGTAAGTTAAATGGCTTCTGGGAAAACTTTTGGCCCAATGTGTGAGTGTGTATGTGTGTTTGTGACTGTCAGCCCTGTGATGCACTGGAATCTCATCAGGATGTATCCTGCCTGGTGCCTATTGACTGGTGACCTCTTGCTTCCCAGTGACCCTGTTAGAAAATGGATCAGTGAAGGGATGGAACAAATCTAATAAAGCAAGACTGCAGTAGTGCATATGAAAACATAAAACAACTGCATGTTTTGTGTGGGTGTTCAAATCAAGCTTTACACTACATTCACCTTTCTTGCATACTGTTTTTCTTGCTATATAAATGCTATATAAGCATTTGCAGATGCCATTTATAATGTTTTAGGAACTGATTCTGTTAATGTTTTATTAGAGTGACATAAATACATAATAATAATACAAATCTACACTGTAAATTAATTGAATATTAATAACAGACCTCTAAACCTGACCATAGCCACAATCCCACAAAATAAATCTTTGGTTTATTTTATCCATTTATTAAGTGTCATTTTTTCAACATAAACTAAAGCATTACTGAAAAATGAACTCAAAATTGTATAATTCAAGATGTAGTTAGAGCAATTTTAGGATTATACGGAATAGTATACGAAAAGACTGAGAAATTCCACATAGAATACCCTATATCCTTGATTCGAAACATGTTTTATTTTACGTGTTCAAATTATAGTTAGCACAGTTTATACTGCTGTCTCGTAGATCTTGTGTTCTGGGTTTAATTCTGTTGGGTTTCCTTCCAGGTGGAGTTTGCATGTTCTCCTCATGCTCATGTGGGTGTTTCAGTGGGTACTTCCGTTTCCTCCTTTATCGAAAAGACATGCTGCCAGAGTAAACTGAATAGTCTCTAAATAGTCTACTGTATTTCAGCATCACATTTGTAATCAACCTGAATGTTTAACGAGAATAGAAACCTTCATACCTGGTAGTGCTGATTTTGGATCAAATTGTCAGCATGACGCTCCTGAAATCAAAGAACCAGAAAGCACTTATTAAAATTTGGATAGATAACTTTTAGACTTTTACACAATTTTTTTTTTTAGTTTTTCATGTGTGCTTTTACACTCATTGGCCAAAATATTAAAAAACCCTCCTGAATAATGAGCATTGGACCTAGTGTTACAATTTTCAGTGGGATTGAGATGTGGGATTTCCCTAGCTGGGTATGGCGATCCAAGTCTGTATAATGGTTCTCAATCCACATACACATATCCTGCCACTGAGATTCTGGGGGTTCTTAGTTTACATCTTCTGTGTTTAAAAACATTATTCTTTAGCTTTAAAGGATTATAAAAACCTCCCAGAGGTTACCTGTGACCTTTTATGACAACTGCTGAAAAATGTTTGCTCTGTTTGGTGTAAAAAAGACACATAGACCTTTTCCTTATTCTTCATATGTGACATAATGATACAGGGTGTGGGGCAGTACGTAGGTGGCTATGGAAATGTCTGTAAGAATCTAGGTACAATGGGTAACACCTAACTCGTGCCAACATTTTTCCTTCCTAGAGCTGGAAATCAAGGGATGTTAACCTAATTGCGAGAGATGCACTAATCAAAAGAATCTCCTGGTTTACCTTAGTTAAGTTCTGGGTAAATGATTAAGAGTGTCAAAAGTGTAGGATAAAAGATAGACGCACAGGCAATGGAGCAGTAGAGAACAAAAGAGGAGACAGGAGGACACAGAACATAAACTGTGTGCAGATTGGAAGACCAGATTGGAACTAAGTATTTAAACCTTGCTAACAGAGCTTGCTGTTCTGTGTTTTTTAGGAAACTCAGGAAATCAGAGTGAAGAATCCCTTGGTTAAAAATGGCCTGTCCTGGTTAGTGAGGTCCCCATTCATTTTGGTGGCATCTGAGTTTACAGAGAGAGAGAGTTTTACTTTAACCACAAGTTGTATTCAGTTTAAAAGGTACTGTAGTTTTCTCTTTTTCTTGCCTTTGTAGGCATTAATTTGAATAGCCTATGGTTTTCTGGGTAGTCTGGGTGTAGGGCTCTGGCACACCATTGACTGGAAACTTGTAGATAGAGTACAGTCACTTGTGTGTTGTATATTTAGTGTGTTGTAATTTTTTAATAAATATTTGTTTAACCCACTGTGCCTGAATTATTACTCTTTTCACCAAAGCTGTGCCAGAGTACAAAAGCTTATTTGTCTCCAATCAATACTTGGTAAAATCCGGACAAGTTGAGGATTATGGTTATTTATTTTGATTTATCGGCTTGGTCAATTTCCTGATTTTCTCTAATTTTTTAATCCCCATTTGTAACAATATTTGTTACACATGCACTGTATGTAACACATTAAATGGGATAAGAAGATGATACATTTTATTTTCACACCAAATTTCCAAAGTGCAGAATTTTAGTTATAGTGATTTGAAATTATTGATGTCTCAGGAGAAATATTTGTCTTGAGAATTTACTGCATGACAAATGAATAGAGATTCAGATGTCAATTGATTGTGACAAACGTTGATTGTGACAAAATAAAGTCTATTATTTCATATCTAAATTCTTATGAGTTGAAAAGGTATAGTTTTCACTTGTTCAGGGCTGATAACTGTTTTAACATACTGCCTTCAAACATGATATGCCAGTTTTGGTTTTGTAATCATGTTGGGTTTGGTGTTTGAATTTTAAGTTGAGGATAAAGGTTGAAAAGCTTTGATAAAAGTAAAAACTGAGACAGCATTGCCTAGCAGCAAATAACCACCCACTACAAACCAGAAACATGGTTGTTACCACTTGTATAGATCCCAGAGGAAGATTTTTTTTGTTCAGTACAGTAAATATGTGAAAAATATAAATGCAAAAAGAGGTGTTGGTTCTGATATAGCTTCAAACCCACCTACTGTACATTCAAACAACTCCTTTGGGAACCCCATAGTAATCTCTGGACTATACGGGCCACAGTCTCTGATCCCAGCTTGTTGTGGGTTTACTTGGGAGACATCTAAAACCAGTCCTTATAATGGACTGCTCCTTGTACCATTGCTGTTGGTGAAGTCTCCACACCAATCTGCTTGCATGCAATGTGATGAATGGAGTGTCTTACAGTGAAAGCCCTGAAGTTCTCATGTTTCTTCTGTTCCTCTTCTTGTCGCCTCCTTGAGCACAGCTTCCTGTGGAGCCACACAAACAGGTACCAGATAGACTTGGGGCTTGGGACGATGTTAAACGGGGGAGGCAGGGTACCCCCTTCATCAAAATAGCTCATCCACAGTTTGGTCCGGGCAAACTTCCATTCAATGTCAGCATGGTCCTGTGGAGTTTCAAAAGAAACTTGTAATTGACTTTTTTGTTGTATTCAGTTATAGTATGATGTATACAAGAAGCACCTTGCTGTGTGTGTTGTAAAGCTTTTGCTTTGACAATTATTTTCTTATTTTTCCTTTATGACCTTTTGACAAGTCACTGCAAATATCTACAGTACAAGCTGATATGTGCTGATGTTTCTTAAGTAATGGCTTTTAGCAGTTTACTCTCCTAACCCTGTTTTGAGCGGGTGTACACTTAAAATACATGCTACAGTACTGTACATTAGGAAATCACTAAATTGTACCAGAAGAACTGTTTCACAAACAAGCCAATTCTTTGCCAATATTTAATCAGTCACTGACCTAAACAATATTGAAGCTTATGTTCTGTGTGAAAGATG